TAGAATGAATCCATAGCGTATTTGATTATTCAATATGAATCGTATCTAATGCTTCTAACTAATAACATTTTGGTGATAAATGTTCGATTAAAGCAATTTATTATCCGCGTCATTTAAAATAACATACATATATTTCCTAAATATTAATTTTTCTTTCGTATCAATCTAATCATTGTCAGAATTTATTATTATGAATTTGAATATTAAGCAGTATCCTATGGGGTTAAACAACTACAATTTCATAGAATTATTTGTTACCCAAGTCTGTAATTAAAAACTTGGAGCAAATAGACCACAGAAACTATCCTATATAGATGTTCTTGAATACTGCAAAATTTCTGACAACGAAATAAATACTACAACAAACTCTTATCAAATCACACTGCACTAAAATAGTAAGTGAAGTGGCCAACCTCGAATATCTTAAATCCATTCAAATGAACTTTCTAACAAATTACTACACAACTTTTAAACTACTTGGTCAACTATAGCTACTGGATATAAATACTTCATTTCGTACTCATTCATATGAACCCAATAGACTTTCTCCAGAATTTCTAAACTCGTCAAGAAGCGTCATCCTTATGAGGGAAACAGTAGCTTTTAGATTCAAATGTATTTGATAAATTGGTTAAAACCTGAGACATAATATGAGAAATCCAAATCTTTCTACACTTACTAAAGTAACTGTATTCCTCCTAGTTAATACCACGTTAGGCTCAATATATTTTATTAGGAAAATCTTATTCGACTAAAATAAAGTGGAGTGAGATTTCCGTGCCCATACCGAAGGCAACAATTTTTAATATTTACTACTTATGTGTCTTGGAACTTACGGTTATAGGTCAAAAACACTACAGTTTTGTACTTTTTTTACGGCACATTAACTAAACAAAAATACTAGATTTTGTTGTGAAGTTGATTGTTATTGAGTAAGAAGACATTTTATTCTCTCAACTACTTTACTTCGGAAGCATATATGTTAAGCGTACATAATGCCTTATCTTGCAAAATATAAAACCTTTATCGCTGTTTGCAATCCTATGAATCCAAATAGCTATTCATTTTTCAGTTATGCAGGTACAGATTACGGGTACGTCGATATTTCAAGTTATAGCATTAAAAATTAGTCAGAGCCTATCCTCAAAACAATTCTAGTATGTGAGTCTTTTCAGTTCATTAACGCAAATAATGAGGGTAAGCTTATACAAAACTAAAATTATAATGTTATATACTCCAAACAGTTATGCAAGTTTACCATCAATATTTTAAGGATTGAAACAGTTTTTACTAATGGTAACGGATGATAATCGCGCAATACAGAGATATAACTGAAGTTGGTATGTGGGTCACTAAAATGTTAACTGAATGATCTAAAAAAGGGCACTCCCTGAGAAGCCTAATGGAGGAAATAATCGCTATCTGATGAAAAATTATCAAAAAAGGTTAACCTAATAATATAAATGATCAATTTTTAAGGTTTCAATGAGTAAAAAAATTAAATTTCCGACGTTACGTAGATTAGAGTAACTTATTTCCTCAGAAAATAAAAATTAATCTTCCGGACAGTGGCTTACTCCAAGTCAAGAAACGTCAGAAATTCAATTTTTTATTCATTAGGACTTTACTAATATAATATTTCCATTATTAACAGTCACCAGCGCTCAATTCACTTGAAATTCTTAAGTCAAACTTTGTTAATGATACTTACAAAGACTGACTTGTGTCCATGTCTGACTCTGTTCGATATAGATGGGAAATGGTGATGTTTATGAACTATAGCTTCTTAGTCGACTTTTTATGTGTTTTCTCAACTTAACACGTTTAGAACGGCATATCAAAAGTAGAATACCAAATATATTAAGAATACGTATATTTCATACATATTGTTAAACAGACAAGCAAAAGATGATGGAGCGACTGTAATAGGTATTGCAGTTCGATAATTCGACTCAGTTTTTATGCTATTTAAAATTACTGGTGGATAGACACATACGTGATATCATACATACATGTATAAAACATAGTCAGGGTTACATGTAATTTTCATAGTTGAAATCATGAGTCGATTGAAGCTAGACCACCATCGAAAACCTGGAAGCACTGGACGGCCGTTTCGTCCTATTATTGGACTCCTCAGCAGTGCGCATCCACGATCCCGCACTCGCAAGATCCGAACCCAGGATCTACCAGTCTCGAGCCAGAGCCCTTAACCGATAGACCACTGAGCAGGCACCCAACGGTGTTAATGTCTAACTTCAACCACTCTGGCTCCAGACTGGTAGGTCCTGGGTTCGGATCTCGCGAGTGCGGGATCGTGGATGCGCACTGCTGAGGAGTCCCATAATAGGACGAAACGGCCGTCCAGTGCTTCCAGGTTTTCCATGTTGGTCTAGATTCAATCGACTCATGATTTCAACAGTGAAAATACTAAATTCTCCACGAAACCCCATCTGATTTACATGTAATGGACAAAAACACAATTTGGATGACAGAATAAATGGAAAGATAAGAACAATGCATCCATTTAAACGTTATGATAAATCACGTAGGCGTGTAACAATAGTAACGGCCACAGACTGACTTCGATATACTTATCCAACTCATCCAATCTTGAAATCATCCAGTGTTGTAACGACCTTTAAACTAACAGCACAAGCATTGAAATGCATCTTCCTGTTTTCGATTTGTTTGTAATTGTGTTTATGTTTGTACATTGGATAGTGCACTCTTGCGCTTATGTAAAATGTTGACATTTTGCAATGCTTAATATTAAAAACATCAACGCGTTTGATACATATATTTCACTATTGGCTATTGTTTAGCGAAAAAGGCGTTTGAAATTCATTGATCAGAAATATCATTTGGAACAAAATGCTGTACTTGCAGGATTGAGTGAAAAAGCTAACTGATGAAGCTGAATGACGGGTAACCATTGTTAAAAATAGTTTAATTATACATACCTTTGCATACAGACAAGTTTAATGTAAATTTTGAATATTGCACATGTTGTGCTGAAAATTTCTTACTGTAGTCATTAAATATGCGTTACTGCATAAAGCGAATATTATTATTACCATTATTAAATAAACATCATTAAGTGATAACAAGACAAATAATTATCTCAAAAAGCAAGATGAAAAGAATGACCTGTATTGCTATTCATCCGACAAACGTAGCTCATGATAATCTGAGTAAGGTAACTAATCTTTGGGTTGATTTCAACAACACAAAATAGAAAAAAGCTATTTTGATAACATTGATTGAGTATAGCTGGCAGTCGAATTTAAGATGCGATTTTCATCCTAGTTAGCTGAATGTACCTGCATTGGAGCATGATTGTTTGCACAGGGATGCAAACAAAGCACACCCTGTTTCGTCCTCTGACAGCATTATCCACTGAGTTCAGGTAGTTGAACACAAATATTGATACAAAGAGGCACCAATATATATGCGCCACACGAAAAATTGTCATTTCATTTAGTTGTGTAAGGACTCAGAAACCCAGACCGAAGCAGGTGGTTTCCTTAAGGGGCCACACCGGGAGCCTTTGACCTGAAGGTCTGATCCATAAGGCAGTGGAGCATCGTAAGGAAATGCAGTCCCATGGTAGCCGGGGACCAACAATTGGTTCATACGCCATTTGTTCCTTCAGAGTACTGGAGCCCATGTGCACCATTTATTTAGAATCAATGTTTTCCAACTCCCCTAGGTGGACTTTCCGTGTCCACCAACCCGGTTGAAGCGCCGGTCATCCGCATTTCGTCCTTTCAATTTCGTAAACACCCCGGTGAGAGAAGGCAGTGAGTAGGAATTACCTGGCAGAGGCTGTATACGCGTGGCCATGTGAGAGCATTTTGAGAGAGAGAGCCCGTCCTCCCCACTCTCGACCATACCAGGGCATTACGGGTCTTGAAGCATATTAATGACTTTCCGTATAGTTATTAATCTTAATAGGATTTATTTAGAGTCGTCCATTATCAACAAACCGTAGTAGACAGTACGAAAAAGACCCAATTGTTAAGAAAACATTTAGCTGTTAAGCTGTAAGAATCGATAAGAATAAGCGATTATGAGTTTGTAATTTTCATCCAATTCCAAATGATAAGTACAAATTCATAGAATTCCATAAGTACACAGTAATCTATTCTCGGAAATAAAACGCTTCCATACGTGTCTTAACAACCTTTGAGCTTAAACGAAGATTATAAAAGAATATACTTCAGTGATATTTACAATCCTTACTTCCTTTAACTCGACCATTGATTATGGAACAGTCCAAGACAGTTACTGGATGATAATTCGACATTCTTTGTAAAATAATTATATTTTGATACAGTTAAGATTGTACATTCGATCAATGTTACTTCAACTGGTCTAACCAGAGTTGAGACACAAGAATCTACAATTCTTTTATATTATAATAAAAACCCAAACAATGCTTTGAATAGAAGTATTCGATTTCCAGAATGGATGTTTGTACACTTAAACAATTCATTGTGTTTATAAGTCATAATTTGTTTAAATTACAATCTAATCAGTTCAAATGATAACACAATATTATTCATGCAACACTTATGTATGTCAGATTCAATTTAACAATGCTATATTAGTTACGCACATGAGCGATTAAGTGAACTGAACAAGTTATAAACTAAACCCCCAATAAAATAAGTCAGAACATATAATATGTAATTTAAAACGTTATCATTATGGTGTCTCTTAGTTTATCTGATTTTCTAGTTGAATGATAAAAGTCAAAATAACAGGGAAGTTTAACAAGATACACAGAACAGCGAAAAAATGATTTATTTGAAATAAAATCTCTATATTCTTTATTCTTATGGTATGTATGTGATCTGAAAATGAAAAAAGAATCTCAGGATCTAAGTAAAATGGAAAATGATATCTCAAAATTTTCATCTGTTTTCTTACAATAAAAGAAACAGTAGTCCAAACCAGAAAATGCATAAGACAGATAGAACTATATATATATATATATATATATATATATATATATATATCATGAGTGTTTTTTGAACAACGTCAAGATGAGGGAAAATAACAGTGAATGAGATGAATATTCACTCGATAAAATGAACTGACAGAGAAGATCAAATCAGAGTTAAAGCACTATCGATCATCTCCGTTGCATATGTTTTTTATATATAAATATAAAGGTAAATAGACCTCCAGAAATATTGAGAAGGAATTTAACACAAACAGACAGACATTTTCTTTCTTCTGACAAAACAAACATACGAATGTTTTGGTTTGATCAGTGAATTAGTTATTTAAATCAAGGTATATATGTATGTGCAGGAGTTGATGAATGTGCAGCAAAATGTATACTTGATACAGGTGAATTCAACTGAAATTAAAAATAATCACAGCATTACCATCTATAGGTACATTAATAAATGAAATCGTACCATAAAAAAAGAAAGAATTATAAATAATATAGCCAGACTGTGAAGCAGATTGTCCTAAAAACAGTTTAACTATTACTAATAGTACTATGACTGCACTTTAGACTGATTTATGTTATTACTGCTTACATCACTGATTGATCTTAGTTAGGTAAATTGAAAACAGGAAGGCACAGAACAACTGTTTCATTCTCACAAGGGACTCCCCAATAGTGCACATCTACGACCACAAAAGCGATGGAAGCCAAGACCTTTAGGTGACACAAAAAGCTTGCTAATTTTAAGTGCACAATCTTGATTTAAAGTATAACTCACTTAACATGCGTCTATCTACAACTATTTCCCTCTACGATAAGTTAAGATATTTAGTATTATAGTACAGTCTGAGTTATCCTTAGTTATTTTTTTAATCAGTCAGCCACAACGTAGAACATGCACGAATGTACATCAGTTCGTTACCGTACACTACTAACAGACCGAGATGAAATTGCCAGGCCAGATCCCAGTATATTAGATTGATAACAGCATCAGTGATAATAGGAAAGATTATGCATCGAAGATACGATTCTAGAAGACAACATAAATTAGTGTGATAAAAACAAAAAATGTTATGGGGATTTTAGAAGCACAACATTTGGAGGAGACAAGGAATGGATGCACATGCGCTATTCCAAACGATTGAGAGACATGTATTCGAAGTCCCTAACTATTAGTTACGATAATCACGCGGACTCCAACTAGGTAGTCTATACCTTTTAACATGGTCAAATCCAATTGTCAGTGACTTTATGAACTGATACCATGTTTTGGTTTGACCGCACATAGATTTCTTCCAGCCTGCTTTTGAACTAGAAAACATTGAGTGTCGAGGTTAGATGTGATTGGATATACGTAACACATATCCCAACCAGCTCAGTTGACGAAGATTTACTACCTTATCGATCGATTTGCCATCCTAATACTCCTTCCTTAATCCAGGAATTGCTTACTGCATGGTCCCCAAATATATGACCAATGCATCATAGACACCAATGATCGAATGCCAGTGATCTACGAATATCCTCTACTCTTAATGGCCATGTTTCAAATCTATGGAGTAGAACGTAACGAACTGTTGCGCAGTAAACTCACCCTTCGGTTAAAAGAAAGTTATCTTGCTCACCCCATAAGTGACGCAATTTGGAAAAAGCCGATAGAGCCTTCTGAATCCGTGCCGAGATTTCGTCAGACACCAGACCATCACTACTTATCAGACTCCCAAAATAAGTGAAGCGGTAGATACGTTTAACTACCTCACTCCTTATCGTTAATTCAGGCAATGACTCAAGCCAACCATTAAGCAACATTTCGTATTCGGAGGGAGAGAACCGCATCCCAAACACACTTGCATTGTTGCTTAGAGTGGTCAGAAGACTGTATTATGTCAGCATCGTTAACGAACAGAACTATATTATCTGCGTATTCTGAGTCAACAAGTGAATCTCCTGGTAGATCAACTCCTGAAAAGACAGAAGATAAAAATATTACCTCTAAAAGCACGCCTAACTCAACTTGTAATGACAGACGCTGCTACAGAACTCCACGGTAAACGGAGTCGAACGCTACCTTAGGGTCAAGGGATACAACTACAATAGAACATCGAAAAGTACGTCAGTGTTCCGACCTACACATCCATATTCAGGTTTAGGACCAGCCTAGTTAGCTCTTCATGAGCTCTGGTTAGACGTCGGAGTATTATTGAGGCTAATATTTTAGACATTATATTAGTTAAACTGATTCCTGTAATTGTCACAAGAAAATTTTTGTCCTTCTTTATGAAATGAGACCATCAGCGATCGAGACCAGTCAGATGGAATTACATCCAGTTCTCAGAATTTAGCTAAGATTTCAATTACTCTAACTGCTAAAACTGGACTACCATTCTTAAAAATCTCAAGGGTTGACCCGCCAATCCCTGCAGCTCTTCCTCGCTTTAGATTGCTTATAGCCTTTCAACCTCTCTAAGTGTTGGGGAACTTGCATCAGTTTGTTTGAAAATGTTGGATAACTGAAGTCCAGTTGAACTGTTTCCTAAGTTGTTCTGCCCATGTGTAAAATCCTCTGGATTGAAAGTGGACAACAGTCCGGTCGTTTTCTGAGAAAGTCTCACTAACAGCCGGATTTTTAACAAGTCTCAACAATTGTCTATTGCTACCTATCACTACTGCCTCTTCGATCTCTTCCGATTTCTCCACCCACAACTGCTCACGATCATTGTATAGGCTTTTGATCAATCTACATTTATGTTCAATACGCTCCTCATCGTGTTCTGAGTCAGACGGGCTAAGTTCCAAAGCATCTGTCAGTTCTGTAGGCACCGCTGAAATCCACTGATTTTTCCTAACCTTTTGGTTTAAACAACTAGATGTCACTGCTGTTTCCATAGCTCTTTGGATGTTATGCTACGCTTCTACGGGTTGGATATCATTTTCGCCGTTGACTAGCTCCTTCTCTAGGTGTCCCTGAAATATATTCTTAACTTTATCATCACTGAGTTGGACTCTAAAGGGTTTTATTACGATCGATCTTCAACGTACGGTAAGACACACACAAATACGTGCTCAAACTAGCGCATGACCCGAGTCAAAATATGTGCTCCAAAATAAGAGACAGTTTTCTATTCAGTCCCATCCAACGACGGATAAATGCAATATAATCTATTCGATTGTGGAGGTCACCACGTCAGATGATTTTTCTGATTATGTTTAAAGTTGGTGTTTGCCAGAAAAATGCGGTTATCTGAGCAGAGTTGCAACAGACGGTCACTACTATCTGTTTGCTGAGGCGCAACACCATAAGATCTTCCTGCGCCTTTCGGTTTGGTTTGATTTACCGACTTGAGTATTAAAGTCACCTTCAACTATTAATACAACAGAGAGTTTAGCTTTTAAAAAAGGCCTGGGTTGTTCCCCACAAAATTCATATTTAACTCTGTTCGATCTGCGATCAGTTAAAGAGCAGATATAGACAACAAAAAGGCAAGAATGTGTTTCCCTACCTTATCGAGTTCCTAATGTCCTGTTTATTCGAACAGAGTACAAGAGACTGTCTATTGGAGTTCGGTCTGCTTCAGAACTTATTGCTATACTTGCACCAGAGAGGGCATGAGAAGTAGAAGGGTTTTTGTACGGGTGTTTTTTATTGACAAGGTCATGTCAAACGTGTGACCGTACTTGGATGCTGTATGCGCGTTTTGGAGAAACAGCATACATCGATGGAGCGAAATTTTAGAATCTTAGCTAAAGACGTCTGTTGTCCTATTTAACACAAGGTTCGAACATTGAAAGCTCCAACATGTAGTCCAAAGCGTGGTTTCAGGAGACCAGGAATAACATTTTGTGAACTCAAATTACTAGCACTGGTGTCCCGTGGTGATAAAGATAAATGAGAAGGGTTAGTCGTGAGGATGGAAGAATTATTAAGAGGTGAGAGAGGAATCCTATCATCAACAGGATCTCGGGTCCTGATAGAAGTATGAGGGCGGTTATCATTCCCCGGCTGTCCACACCGTGGTAGGATACTTCTTCTTGAGGGACCTAAAAAAGAAGCAGAATTAGTGGTGATCTTAGAGACTTGAAGGAGTGAGTACAAATCCCAGGGGACAACTGCCTGAGGTCACTCGCACACAGCCTTTTTATGGGAAGTTTTTGATGAGCTAGCTCCGCACTCCAAAATGTCTTACCTCTGGAGACGGAAATCCGTGGGGTGAGGTGTGGTGTTTTTACTTACTTACTTACGCTTGTTACCCATCGTCGAGGAACATAGGCCGCACACCAGCATTCTCCATCCAACTCTGTCCTGAGCCTTCCTTTCCAGTTAACATTCATCCTCTTCATATCTGCTTCTATTTCCCGGCGTAGTGTGTTTTTTGGCCTTTCTCTTTTCCGGATTCCAAGTTAGGGATTGAGTCGTAATGCATATTGGTGATTTCCTCAATGTATGTTCGATCCACTTCCAACGTCGTTTCCTAATTTCCTCTTCAGATGGAAGCTGGTTTGTCCTCTCCCATAAAACGCTGTTGCTGATAGTATCCGGCCAGTAGATGTTGAGTATTTTGCATAAACAACTGTTTACAAATACTTGTACCTTCCTGATGATGGCCGTAGTAGTTCTCCACGTTTCAGCTCCAGACAGTAGGACTGTCTTGACGTTCGTATAGAAGATTCCGACTTTGAAATTAGTTGACAGTTTTTTTGAGTTCCATATGTTCTTCAATTATAGAAATGCTGCCCTTGCTTTGCCGATTCTCGCCTTTACATCTGCATCCGATCCACCTTGTTTATCAACAATGCTCCCCACGAACTTGAATGTTTCCACCTTTTCTAGAGTTTCACCATTTAGCTTTGTGTATGCGCTTGTGTGGGAATATTGTGCCGCCTATAACCAATTTGTTGAATGCACATATATTTGCGAATCTCTTCCCATTTTCATTTCTCTCTCCCAGTCCATGTCGTCCAATTATATCTTCATATCTTGTATTGTCCACTCCGACTTTAGCATTTAGATTTCCCATCAGGATTGTAAGGTCCTTTCGTGAGCACTTCTCTATAATTGATTGAAGCCTTTCATAGAACTGATCTTTATCATCGTCGTTGCTATCATTGACGGGTGCATAACATTGGATAACGTTCATTGTGATCCCCTCCTTCTTTGTTCTGAATGATGCTTTGATGAACCTTCGTCCATAATATTCCCATCCTATAAGTGCATTTCGTGCTTCTTTGGACAGCATTAGAGCAGCTCCCTGAGTGTGTGGAGCATTTTCCCCTCCGTGACCGGAGTGCAGCAGCATCTCTCCCTTATCTAGCCTTTGTTGTCCAGTTTGTGTCCAGTGGGTGTCGCTGATTCCAAGTACTGCCAATTTGCATCTCCTCATTTCCATTTCTATTTGGCTGGTCTTTCCTATCTCCCACATTGTCCGGACGTTCCATGTACTTATAAAGAGTGTTACTCTGGTTGTTAGAAGGTGCATCGGTCTCGTGACTTCCGAAGAATTTCGGCTTTCATCATGAGACGTCATAATTATTCCTTCAACTCCCAGGGCAGAGTTTAAATGGTTTGAATTATTTTTTTCTGGTTAGCGTTTTTTTAGCGAGTTATCTTTTCTACGGGATGGGGTCGCTAACCCCATGCCCAACCCTCCTCCTTTACCCGGGCTTGGGACCGGCAGTAACTCTAGGAGAGCTACAGGCGGAGTTGTGGTATTTTTGGGGTCGACTTTTTCCAAACCCTCCCTTCGGTTATGAGAAGAAAGAATCGCTGCAGATATTGGTAATCCGGCGGAAACAAATTACTGCTGTCACACCCCTCTACAGAGTACAGTACGACTTTGCCCTCGGGTGTTAAGTTGCTGCTTTTAGTCTTACCGTTCTCCAACAGACATGGCATGGTAGGACCTTGAGGAACGATTGTTCCAGATAGTATAGCTCGACTGAATCATCACGATAGACAAGCCCTAACACCACGTCAGACAATTATTTATAGAAAAAATCTAAAAAAGAATATATATATATATATATATATATATATATATATTGGTAAATGGTTTTAGTAGTTTCGTTTCACTCGGAGCTCAAGACCATCATTAAGAGAAATGCTCTGTTAATTACCCTAGGTTAAGTCATCAAATGTTATAATTTTCTAAATAAGCCAAATTAATCTGTTTGAAGACTTTAACAGTAAATTTGGATAAATTAATTCATAACTTTCGAATATAGTGGGATGTTATCATTAGCTTAAATTTCCATACAATTTGAGCAAATTAAAAGCAGTGATTACTAGGAAAAAAAAGAAATAAGTACTGCATACATGAAAAACATTATTAATAACAGATAGCTTTTTAGATTTTTTCTATATATATATATATATATATATATTGCTTACCTTTGTTGTGTGAGGTTTAATTTGTGGAGTTTGAAATGACTCATCAGATATGTCCGAAATGTCTATTTAAGGAAATATTGAGAACATGTTATCCAAATTATTTTTTCACACTAAAATAACGTATATATTAGTTTGCCAACTTTAAAAAACGTTACATTCACCTAACTACTTACATAACAATTTAAAATATGCAGATGATGTAGTTCTGTTTGATAATGCATCATTTTATGTTAGCCTTGAGGAACATAACAAACATGTTTAGGATGCATTCCCCATCCTATCAATCTGAAATTTTCTCAAACCTCTAAACTTTTTTTCTACCATAGACAGTACTACTGCTTTTGATACTATGGAAAGTATCTAGATGGTTTGTTTCTTATTGTATTGTAGCGTTGCAACAAACTGAAACTAATCCAGGTTTACACCGAGTTCTATTTTGCTACCAATTAACTGAAATCAGGTTTTCAAATGTCTGTGATAATATTCGGAAAGACATGCTCAGGATTCAAAATAGGTCACTAAATCCTTAAGTTATTCGTTTATTTTCTGAATTCATATTGTTACCAATTCAAAAAAATTCTACAAACATACAATCATGGGAGTTTAAATTGAAGTGATCAGAAGGTAATACGATAAAACAGATGAGATAGAAATACTTCCCATAGAAGTAAGCATAGTCACGAGTTAACCTAGGTAGGTAACCACATTGAAATAATGTCAATAATGAAACCAAGATGGCTGTACTGAGTCAATATTATTTAGTTTGCATTAATGAATTCAAATTCTTTTATGACGTACAAGCATAAATATTATCAGACTTCAACCGAAAACGTAACGTATTTAACATTGAAAAAGGAATTTTGTATCATTATATGCTTTCAAAAAGACTACCCACAGTAATTTATAAAAATGTCAAGCAAATAAGATCATAAAGGCTCGACATTCTACCTGGCATAGAAAATGAATTTTTATTAAACCGGTATTTTGGTCTTCGTTTGAAGATTGGTCTACGAAACTTTGTAGATGGGTTGGAATACTTGTTAAATGAGTTTACATCGTGGAAACGATCGGAAGTAACTGATGAGTTATAAGCTTTATAAGTATGCACTGTAGTTGGCGAGTTAGGAGGCGAGTAGTGAGAGCTATATTCACATTGATCGGCAGCCAAAGCATTTTTACTAGAATCCATCGCCCATCGAAACATATTTATCCCAACCAAAAAACAACATAGTAAAATAGGACCAATTATGGCACCTTCAGGACCTTGACAGTATATTCCACCAGCAATCGCCAAACCGGTAAAATAAGGATGACCCGCGCTGAAACAAAGCGTAGAATACATAATTATCATATTCGGATGGTTGTGCGTTGTTTAACTATACACCATGACTATAGATGATTGATCGAAATACTCATTGTAGTACCAACCTTATAGTATTTTTCGTGAATATATGACAGTAGTCATATAATTTAACTCCGCCTATAGCTCTCCTAGAGTTACTGCCGGTCCCAAGCCCGGGTAAAGGAGGAGGGTTGGGCATGGGGTTAGCGACCCCATCCCGTAGAAAAGATAACTCGCTAAAAAAACGCTAACCAGAAAAAAATAATTCAAACCATTTAAACTCTGCCCTGGGAGTTGAAGGAATAATTATGACGTCTCATGATGAAAGCCGAAATTCTTCGGAAGTCACGAGACCGATGCACCTTCTAACAACCAGAGTAACACTCTTTATAGGTACATGGAACGTCCGGACAATGTGGGAGATAGGAAAGACCAGCCAAATAGAAATGGAAATGAGGAGATGCAAATTGGCAGTACTTGGAATCAGCGACACCTACTGGACACAAACTGGACAACAAAGGCTAGATAAGGGAGAGATGCTGCTGCACTCCGGTCACGGAGGGGAAAATGCTCCACACACTCAGGGAGCTGCTCTAATGCTGTCCAAAGAAGCACGAAATGCACTTATAGGATGGGAATATTATGGACGAAGGTTCATCAAAGCATCATTCAGAACAAAGAAGGAGGGGATCACAATGAACGTTATCCAATGTTATGCACCCGTCAATGATAGCAACGACGATGATAAAGATCAGTTCTATGAAAGGCTTCAATCAATTATAGAGAAGTGCTCACGAAAGGACCTTACAATCCTGATGGGAAATCTAAATGCTAAAGTCGGAGTGGACAATACAAGATATGAAGATATAATTGGACGACATGGACTGGGAGAGAGAAATGAAAATGGGAAGAGATTCGCAAATATATGTGCATTCAACAAATTGGTTATAGGCGGCACAATATTCCCACACAAGCGCATACACAAAGCTAAATGGATCTCTCTGGACCACACCACAGAGAACCAGATAGATCATATTTGTATCAACAAAAAATTCCGAAGGACAATGGAAGATGTGAAAACAAGCAGAGGAGCTGGCATAGCTTCATATCACCACCTGTTTGAGGCCAAGAGGAGACTGAAGCTAAAGAAACACTGGACAACTGGGGGAACAGCACAACAAAGGTTCAATACAGTCTTCCTTCGAGATATTGACAAGCTCAATGAATTCAGGATAACTCTCAACAACAGGTTCCAAGCTTTACAGGATCTACTGAAAGAACAAGAAACTACTATGTAAGATAACTGGAAAGGGGACAAAGTGTGAAGTGGTTCTGGGTCGCAAAAAGCATCATCATAAGGAATGGATCTCTATGGGAACCCTGGACAAAATTCAAGAAAGGAAGAACGAGAAACTAGCAATTAACAACAGCCGAACACAAGCAGAGAAAGTCAAAGCACAAGCAGACTACGCAGAAGCAAACAGGGAAGTGAAGAAAAGCATTAAAGCCGACAAGCAGAAATACATGAGAGAACTAGCAACGGCGGCGGAAAAAGCTGCAAGAGAAGGGAATATGAAACAACTATATTACACAACGAAGAAACTAGCAGAGAGGTATAGCAAACCAGAGAGACCAGTCAAAGAAGGAAAGTCAATCACTGAGATTCAAGAAAAGAGGAAAAGATGGGCAGAATACTTCGAGGAACTGCTGAATAAACCAGCCCCATTGAATCCACCGAACATCGAAGCAGCCCACACTGACCTTCCAATAGATGTCACTTTACCAACGATCGGAGAAGTCAAGATGGCCATCACACAAATCAAAAGTGGGAAGGCGGCAGCTCCTGAGAAAGGTGCTTCTTATGGTAAAGGATGGTGGCCATGCAACGCAGTGGATTGATTTATTTCAGGAAAATGGACACCATTACAACAACAGATTGATGATAGCGCGCTTGCTGTGTGGATTGGATTCGATCGTTGATAAAATCGCAAAATTGGAAAACTGATGCGTTCCATAGTGGGACGAAACAGCCCTATAATTCCCGACGGTTTATGACAGTTGCCTAGCTCAACACAGTCCTCATCTGAAACGATTTCCAAATCGAACAACCTACACAAATCTGTAACTGTAATAAAAGGTTGGTAAAGAAAGTAGTAAACATCAGCACACAAAATGTTTTAAAAAATATAGAGCTCATTAAGCTTTTCGTTTGGTAATTTCTTTTGCGCTTTACATAGAACACAAAACTGTAGGATAGATAGGTTATTTAGGAAAAACAGCTTGGAAAACTTGAGTCTTTAAAAGTATGGATTCTGACTCTCTTACAAGTGCTGTGTGTCACAAATATATATCACCAAACACATCTGTAGAAAAAAGTTGTCAGAAAAGAGACAGATAAAGAGAAATTATTTTGGGTCACATAGAACCTGTAATATCTGAGTCTGTAAGATACAACAACCAAATGACATAACTCCTTCTGTTTAGTTATCGGATTCAATTAACGCCTTACAACAAACTGTGCCAACCAAACACAACACTTTGCACAGAAAAATGCTTTAGATTCCGGAAGTACGACCGGAACTTACTGTAGTATATATTTTTTTTATCGATAAATTAAAAAATTCGAATATCAGTCAAAAAAGTAATAACCATATGAAATCGCATATTTATTATCTAGTGCTAAAAACTGAATCACATAATTATAAATAGTATATTCTTCATTAATACGACATGTTTGGCAGCGACAAATAAATTCTTCAGTATTTATCGGTCTTCCTAACTTTTGATAGTGAACAAACCGGAACGGTAGCGTACATGATATAACATTACGGGAAGGAGAGCGAAAACCTAACATAAACATAAAAAGCCTAATGGATTGCACTTTAATTTCATATCCGACCAATAATACAAATGATGCAGTATAAAAATACGTTTTCAATAATTACACTGAAAATCTGTAATTATTTACTTCACTCGGTTGTAGATGAATGGGCTTCAAGAAACTAATAACGTTGAAGACGGAAATTCAATTGAATAAACACTCTGTTCTCAAGATTAAACGCAGTTTTATTTCAAATAAAATAATTATTTACTGATAATAAATAAGAAAAATAAATTTCATTACCCTTTAATTTCTCTATAAACTGAAACATCAACGACATAGGTCGGTAATACATGGAAAAGTATGAGGAGACCAGCTTGAGATAATGACTGACGAATTATAATAATTTCGATTGCACCAGGTAGAACAGCCCAATATGTGCCGATAATTGGGACAGCACCTAATATAGCAGCCAATACTGAAAATAGAATTAAGTTAAAACACGTATAACACAATATAAATTAAATCATGAAATAAACTCCTTTCAAATTAAGAAAATTAATTCGTTCTTCATAGTTTAAAAGATATAAAAAATAAATCCTTAAGGAGTGTCCAAAAACCTATATCCCTAATGGTTTAAATATTTTGACAATTGACTAACGCTTTCAACTATGAAAATACTAAATCTCCACAAAAAACCCTTCTGAAATAAAAACTAGACAAATTGACCAATTGATCAGAATCGAAGGTTGACCTTTAAATGCTTCGTCACGGAAAACCTTCCTTACCTAAAGATGAAATATTAACGTTAAAAAGGAGATGTATCAACAAGTGAAAACAGTCAGTAATCAAATGACTGACACTTCCACACTGCAACGGTTCGTTGCCACAATTGGCCCCCAAATACACTGGTACGATCGTGGGTGGGGAGAGTCTGTTGTCCCTCTCGAATCGCTCTCACATGACCAAGCGAATAAAGCTACTCACAGAGAAGTCCTAATCACCGCGTTCATGTGACAGGGATGTTGTTTACAAAATTGGGAGGACGAAAAGCGAATGTCCGGCCCTTTAACTGGGTTGACGGATATAGAGGATCCACCTAAGAAAGTTGGAAAATCTCGACTCCAAACTAATGGTGCACATGGGCTCCAGAATCCTGAGGGAACAAATGGCGTTTGAACCTATTGTTGGTCACCGACTGTCATGGAACTTCATCTTCCATCGCCTTGTGAACTAGACCTCTGGGTCAGAGGCTCGGGGAGTGGCGCTCTAAGAAAACTACCTGCCTCAGTTTAAGCGCCAAGGCAGTATTCTTGCCCTCATACAATTTGAATAATGCTTATAAGTGAGAAAAATTATTCACGTCTAAATTTGTATCCTGACAACTTACATTCAAAATCATTTGGTAACAATCATTTTTACTATACATTACGTCACTTGTCTATTCCCTTTTATTCTCACTTTGTATGCTCTTTTATTTTTTAACTTACACAGCGGCTTGTCTATGTTAGAGATCCTATCCTTCCTAAACGATCTACAATCACTGACTGGTCGAATTGGACGCTACCACCGACAAAGATTTCTGGACCAGCCACGTATACCACTTAAACTGGTCTCCTCTAACGTTCACACGCTAATGCAGTTAAGTGTTCTTCTAAAAAGAGTTCGTTCGACGAACATTATAGTACTAGCCACAGACTTGAATACACATGTCGGGTGTTTAGGTACAGAAGAGAGTCATTTACGTGGCCGATGGGGACTTGATGGTCGCAGGTCAGATAACCGTGAACGTCTGCTGAAACTTTGCACAGACTACAGACCTGTTTCTGGCTAGTACTATCAGCACATTCATCGCCGATGTGCTACGTGGTATCCTCTCTCTTCATCTCAAGCCTGGACTTAGATTATGTCGCAACCAGATACCACTAGCGTGACTGTGTACAGGACTTTTGCTCCTTTGGCGTACTTATCTGGACTCTCATCATGCTCTTGTTTGTGCTAATCCTATTCTACGTTTCAGTGGCCAACAAATTCATAGCCCTAAACGGATCGGGTTCAGCAAATTGATTGCAACTTCTGTTGCAACTAAATATCAAACCGAGCTACGTTCAAGGTTAGCTATCATCCCACCGAAAAATATAGATAAGCACTCGCTGCCACGGCATGACGCCATGAAAATGGCGGGTAAATTCGCTTGTGGCTTCACAAAACGTCATCTATGCAACGACTATCAGGGGATAAGTTTACTGAGTCCAAACTGTTGGCTTCCTTTGTACTTCATAAATTGTTTAAAACCCTAGAAAGATTGACTGGCAAGGAGGAGGATGGTTTCCGTTCTGGACGAGGATGTATTGATCATACCTTCACCCTCCGCCAAATGCTAGAACACTGTCATACTTATTTACAGGTTAACAATAGTAGTGTTCCCCGACCGTTGCTGCTACCTTGACGTGGTGGTCGGGCTTGCCTATCGTAATGATCCAATCGAGCTATGCTGGCTGGAACAATCGTTCCTCAAGGTCCTAGCATGCCAGGCAGGTCGGGTGAAGAGCGATGAGACTAAAAGCAGCAATCCCAAGGTCCGAAGGCGAAGTCGTAATGCTGACTGTACAGAGCTGTGAAAGCAGTAAACTGTTTCCTTCAGACAACCAGCATGACAGCGATGCTGCCTTCCCACAAGGAGGGGTGGGGTTAGAAAAGGTCAACCCTAAAAATGCACACCTCGCCTTATCCCACGGATTTCCGTCTCCGGCGGTAAGGACTTTTGAAGAACGGAGCTAACACGTCGAAAATCCCCCACAAATAGGCCGTGCGTGACCGGCCTCAAGCAGATGTCCCTTGGGCACTGCGGTCACGCTCCCAGGTCGTTAAGACCAACACTAATCCAATTTCTTTTTCAGGTCCCTCAAGAAATACCCTTCGACGGTGTGGGCAGCCGGGAAGTGATACTAGCCCTCATACCCTTAACTGCACACGAGACCAAGTTGGTCGCTTTCAAATCCTTCCTACACCTAATAACTCTGTTATCTCCACGACTCACCCTTCCCACGTCCTTTTATCACCTCGCACCGCTAGGGCAAACGATTCGAGTACACAGAACGTTATTCCTGGTCTCCTGAAACCACGCTCTAAACTACATATAGGAACTTTTAATGTCCGAACACTGTGCCAAATAGGACAACAGGCTTCCTTAGCTATGACTCTGGAATCTTACACCATCGATGTGTGCTGCGTCTCCGAAACGCGCATACAAGATCCGAGTAGTGTCATTCATTTGACCGCACCTAATCAAAATAAAGTTTCATCTCGATACACGCTTCGTGTATCTGGAAGCCCTGATGCTGCTTCCCGTGGCCTCGCTGGAGTAGGTATAGCATTAAGTCCTACGGCAGAACTAGCTCTTTTAGACTGGATCCCAGTAGACAGTCGTCTATGCGCTGTCCGACTAAACGGATCAGTAAGGACCCGGAAAGATAGGGAAACTCGTCGTTGCCTCTTCGTCGTCTCTGCCTACTCTCCCACTGACTGCAGCTCGGACGATATAAAAGATGAGTTCTACAGGAAACTTTCTGACCTTCTCCGAGAAGCTAGGCGTTCTGATGTAGTATTAGTAGCAGGTGACTTTAATGCTCAAGTAGGTAAACTAAGTGAAAGGGAAAGACACCTGGGTGGATCTTATGGTGTCATGGCGAAAAGAACAGATAATGGCGACCGTCTGTTGCAGCTATGCTCAGATAACCGCCTATTTCTTGCAAATACTAACTTTAAGCATAAGGAAAAACATCTTTTGACATGGCGACCCCCGAATTCGTCCCAACATTGCACCCAATTAGATCACATCGCTATCAGCCACCGATGGAGGGGCTCCATAGAAAACTGTCGCTCATTCTGGGGCACATGTTTAGATTCAGATCATGCTCTAGTGCGAGCACTTATCTGTCTGCGTCTTACTGGTCGTAGGAAAGACACTGCAGGGAAGCCTCTAAGGGTTCTACTTAATGATAGGCAAGCTAAGAATATATTTCAGGAACAAATAGGAAAACAGTTAGGCAGCCATGTAAGTTGTGTCCACCCCGAGGCAGCGTGGAATGACATCCGAAAAGCTGTGGAAACAGCAGTGATATCTGCTAATAAGGTAAACCATAACGTTAGGGAGAAACAATGGATCTCGGCAGCATCTACCGCACTGATAGATGCTCGTAAACTCATCCCACCTGGCTCTGAACATAACGAAGAGCGGAGTCAACTTAAGCGCAGGCTTATAAGAAGCCTACGTAATGATCGTGAACAGTGGTGGGTAGCGAAAGCAAGAGAGATGGGTAACAGTAGGCAGCTATTCAGACTCGTTAAAGAAACCGGTATTAGGAACCCGAATATCAGTGAAACCATCTCAGATAAAGATGGCCATATTATTCATTCTCAATCCAGGAGATTGGATCGATGGGCAGAACACTTTAGGGATCAGTTCAACTGGCCTTCAACCACGCTACAATTACCCACGATCCCCAGTCGTCCTGAATGGCAAATTGATGCAAGCCCTCCAACCCTCTGTGAGGTTGAAAAAGCTATAGGAAATCTGAAGCGAGGGAGAGCAGCAGGCCCTGACAGGTTGACCCCTGAGATTTTTAAGGATGGTGGTCCAGTACTAGCAGTGAGATTGACTGAGGTCTTAGGTAGAATCTGGGAACTGGACGTAATTCCATCTGACTGGTCCCAATCACTGATTGTGCCAGTCTATAAGAAAGGACAAAAGTCCTCCTGTGACAATCATAGAGGGATCAGTTTGACTAATATAGTGTCTAAAATATTAGCTTCAATAATACTAGGTCGCCTAACCAAAGCTCGTGAAGAGCAGATTAGAGAAAACCAAGCTGGTTTTCGACCTGGACGTGGTTGCATAGACCAGATATTCACCCTACGTCAGGTTCTAGAACATAGACACAAATTCAGACGTCCCACAATAGTAGTATTTCTTGACCTTAAGGCGGCATTTGACTCCGTTGATCGTGAGGTTCTATGGCAATGTTTGTCACTGAAAGGAGTACCAAAGAAGTATATTAACCTCATAAAGGCTCTCTACTCGAACACAACTGGTCGAGTTAGAGCCTATGGCGAACTATTATCAGAATTGGTTACCTCAAGTGGTGTTCGTCAGGGCTGTCCACTCTCCCCATTCTTGTTTAACTTTGTCATTGACATACTTTTAGAGATAGCACTTTCATCAGCTAAACCTCCAGGAGTTGAACTTTTACCAGGAGGCTCACTTGTTGACTTAGAATACACCGACGACATAGTTTTACTCGGTGAAGACGCTGACAACATGCAGAGTCTTCTGACCACTATAAGCAACTATGCAGGCATGTTCGGGATGCGATTCTCTCCCTCGAAGTGCAAAATGTTACTTCAGGATTGGGTTGCATCGACACCTGAACTAATGATAGGGAGTGAAGTAGTTGAGCGTGTAGACTACTTCACTTATCTTGGGAGTCTCATCAGCCCTTGTGGTCTGGTATGTGACGAAATCTCAGCACGGATACAGAAGGCTCGTCTAGCTTTCGCCAACTTGCGTCATTTATGGCGTAGGCGAGATATCCGTCTTGCAACCAAAGGACGGGTTTACTGTGCAGCAGTTCGCTCCGTCCTACTTTATGGCAGTGAAACATGGCCAATAAGAGTAGAGGATATTCGTAGGCTACTAGTGTTCGATCATAGGTGTCTTCGAAGCATTGCTCGTATATCCTGGGACCACCGGGTAAGTAATGCAGTTGTTAAGAAACGAGTACTAGGTAGGGATGGCAAATCGATTGATGAAGTAGTGAAACTTCATCAGTTGAGATGGCTGGGACATATGTTACGTATGCCCGACCACCGACTGCCCCGACGTGCAATGTTTCATGGTGTAGGAGTAGGTTGGAAGAAAGCTAGGGGCGGCCAGACCAAAACGTGGCACAAATCAATGAAGTCACTGACAAGTGGACTGGGCCATGTTGGTAAGTGTAGACTACCTGGTTGGGATTCGCGAGATGATAGCAACCGTTGGTTAGAGACCTTGAATGACATGGCTCAAAATCGTTTGCAATGGCGAAGATGCATCCACTCTTTGTGTTCTACCAAATTCTAATCTTATGAATTCCTCATGTCTTTATCTTTTTCTCTTTCCAAATTTATTTCACTGTACTATACTCCTTCAATAATTTCTTCAAACCCTAATCTTTTGGATTTCTGATAATACTCCTACTACGTCTACCACTATGGGATTCGAATCCACAACTGCATCTCTGTGCTAATGTGGTATGGCAACTCGAACTGATGTACGTACGTACGAAGTTCTACGTTGTGACTGACTGACTGACTGACTGAATCGTAGTGTTCCTTGACATCAAGGCCGCCTTCATTTCGTTAGACATGACCGTCCTCTGGGATTGTCTATTGAAGAACAGTGTGGGTGAGAAGTTTATTACCATATTGAAATCACTACATATAAAGAGTTCAGGGAGAGTGAGGGCATGCAACCCCCTCTCCAGTATTTCATTCAAGCTGTGGGGTTAAGTAGGGTTGTTCAATCTCGCCACTTCTCGACTTTCCTATTAATGATATTCTGGAAACAGCTCTGATGGATATATGTAATGGTAAGTGTCTAGAGAAAGACCTTTTGACATTCAGTTTACGGATAATATTGTCTTTCTGTACGATGATATCAAAGCCATGCAATCCTCACTTAGTCAGTTGGCAATCAGTGTCCGTAGGTATGGTGTGTGCTTTTCACCTTCTAAGAGCGAAGTATTTTTAAAAGCCTGGTAAGACCCTGAACTGATTCTAGGTAATGAGCAAAAAGTAGTTGAGATGTTCGTATATTTGGGTAGTTGTGTAAGTGCTGGTGGTGGCGTGAGTGATGAGATCAGTCCACGCATAATGAAAGCCAAAGCTACTTAAATCAATCTGAACCATCTTTGGCGCCTTTGTGATATTAGTCTGACTCTATAAGGCCAGACCAACAACACGTCAGTGAGAGAAATTCCACCCCATACTTGTGAAACCTAATCTCTCCGAATTGAGGATGTCAGAAGACTCTTTGTGCTTGATCATCGTTGTCTCTGAAGGGTTGCTGACTTCCAGTGGCTACGCCATGTTAATAATACAGAGGTTCAGGAATGTGTATTCGGATACAGCGACCACAATCCAATTGATGTCAACATCTTGAAACACAGGCTTTGCCATGTACCACGAATTTTGTCCCAGAGAATTTCACATCGTGCATTATTTTCTAATGCTGAGATTGGTTGAGAAAAGGGAAGAAGTGGTCAGTGCACGACACTGTGTCGTGGTATGAAAGAAAGCTGCACAGCACTAGCTTCTGTTGGACCTTCCCGACTCCCTTATTGGGGTTCTATAGATGGTGCACAGTGCTTTGAGACGTTATAAGAAACAACTCAGGATAGAAGCCAGTGGCGATCCTGCTGTAACTTTCCTTTACTTCTTCCATAAAAGTGAAAGCAACTTCCTTAACTGAAAGAATAACTTCGGGTTGTGCTTTTCCTAACTGAACTGCTTGTCCCATTATTATTATTATTAATATTTCGCTCTCATACACTAATTCCTGTTCATTGTTGCTATACATTTTTAATATACTCACCTTTTATTCTCTGTCTTCACAACTTTATTTTTATTGTGTGGCGCATATATATTTGGTGCTCCTTTGTATCAATGTTTATGTGCTCAAATAAATAAATAAATAATCCAACTAAGAGTAAGATACAGAGTAGAAACTTTTTGTATAATTTGAAGTCTCCATTTGCTGAAATCTATCTTCTCGACAAAAGACGTACATCAAGAGTAAATAACTTTACGGACTCACGTCATGCATTGATATAACCACCCCTGACTTCTTAACGGGCTATCAGATATCACCGATGATGAAGAGATGATCAAAAGATAAATAAGTACAATTTAACTCTATCATTTAGACTTGTGTAATTAAAATATGATAATTATCAAATCATTCATGTTCGAAATAGAAGTAATTCTACACGATACTTTTCCTTATGTATTACCATATACTACTATTACCACTACCTTACAGGTAATCTTCGATAAATGATTTTACAAGTTGATAATATAAAATGAACTAAGTAAAACAACTCACCAGATGGAATTATTACAAGATCTAATCCAAATATAATATGAGTAAGTGATGTATATAAACCATAAAATAAAGCCAGTTTTAATGTTGCAACAAATACTCCACTAATGGCTGATTCCACAGTTGAATACAAATGTGCAATTAATGAGTTAGTTCCAGTAAAAGTTGGTGTTAATGAAGAAATAAAAGCGACAGGGAGATAACACGATCCACTGGCAGCTAATACGTAATACAGAACTGTTAGAAAAATGAGCTGAAATAAAAAATAAATAAATAAACAAATACAACTGTAGATATTGATAAAAAATTTGAAGGTCAACTAAAGAACTGCATACAGACTTTTTGGAGAAATTGTTATATTGAATGCATTCTACAGCCGCTAACAATATTGTACGATTATTAACCAAACTAGATGAATAGAAAGTGTAATTAATAAGGAAAAGAGGTGGGTCGCAGTAAAAACAGGAAGGAAAATAAACAAGAATCTGGCTTAAATTTGGAAATATAAGAACGTTTTATTCAATTATTTTAAACGAAATTATCTAAAAAAAATTCACGTGAAAATTTAGGTCACCATTTATAGTTTTGTTTATTTCAATAGGTTTGGTTTGTTTTGACGGTAACCAAAAAAGCAGACAATATATTAGTGCGATTGTAATAAACAGGTAGATCAGATATTTAACGGATCTCGACGGGTAAGGATAAACTCCGCTCTCGTTCACAACTTTGACCTTGGACCTGGCAACTGTCCAAAAAATGAAGCGGGAATTCTTGTCTAAACTATCATAGTCTAAGATGGAAGGTGTGACTCGTTCTTCGTAGCTTTATCAGGCTTACATGAAAAATGTAGTTTTTTATGGTGAAAATAACACTCCACCATGCTACTGACGCATCAGATGTAGCGCAATCAGTCATGATGGAAGAAAAATCACAACATAGCGAAAGTCATACTTACAATTAATTCTATAACAGAAATTATTCCAAAATGGCCGGGGATAAACTCCGCGTTGTTTAGTCATCTAAGTGTATCGTAGTCAGTAACTCCGGTCAAATTTTCGTTTATTTAATCACTCAATTGTAGATATTTTGGAATAAAACGACGAAGAACGAGTTACACCTTCCGTCATGGATTAAGATAGTTTAAATAAGAATTCCCGCTTCACTTTGGCTAGTTACCAGGTTCAAAGGTCAAAATTGCGAATGTAAGTAGATGTTGAATGGAAAGACAGGATCAGTTGCATTAATCCACAGTTGCATTCGTTCTTCATCTTCATTTGAATCTCCAGTTAAGTGTCGATCCTCATTTTCATATTTCGATATATAATTAACAAATTTTCCCATCTTTTGCTCCGTATTCTAATAATTTATAGACTTTATGTGTTCATCTGAGCTACGCCAACTTAAACTGATAAACATTCGTGCCAGGTCTGAATATCATTTATAACTGACTGTTCTTAACATTGATAACTATGACAAATAGAAACTACTATGTATAGGCACCATGATAGATCATACACATATTGTGTAAACAGAAAAATTCCTCGTTAAACTTGTCACAGTATCAATAAACAGACTTTTATCAACAACAACAAAATAACGGTTTTTTTACACATTCAATAATCAACTGACAGAACATTACATTCCAGATAAAGTAATCAATACAACAAACAAACAGTTGCAAACTTCCAGTGAATACAGGTACTATTAAAGGAATAATAAAGATAATTTATTGTAACTGATCACATCAATCAGTAAATATTTTCAGGCAAATAACAACAGCATTAACTAAATGGAATTTTAAAAAAAAATTAATTAAATGTAATTTAATTAATTTACCAACTTCAAACTGAAAGTAGAAACTTCAGAATTAATCGTACAAACACATAAACATTGGAAATGAATTAGTAATAACATGTAGGTACTAATGATGCAATGAATAAAGATATGTTAACTGGAAACCATACAAACTTTGATTTTGTTAGAAATTGACTGAATTAGTGCAATTCTCTTATATATACTACTACTAAGTCTATATTTTAGGCATGGAATAGTGATTACAAATGAAGTATATAATGGTGATGAACTGTATATCGACTAAATACATACAAAAAGCGTAATTTGTCATGATGAATTTTCCTACCTCTTTAGTAAATGACCTTTCAAATTTACAAATAGTATAATACGTATTATGGAAAGGCATGTAACTAATAATCTACCAGTATATTGAACTTACAAAAGCAATCATAAAATTCATTGCCACATGCCCACCACTCATTATCAATGAAATTAAAGTTGTTATTAACTGAGCAATTAAATTCACATTACTACGCATCAAACTCCATAATGATTCTGTGATAGTTGCAAATGTGCCCAAATTCTGTTTGAAAATTACAAACAACTAAATAAAATTGAAGAAATATAAAAACGATGATATACAATAAACAGGAATAAACAAATAAGCATCACTATTATCATTGTTCGTATTTAATGTGATAATTAATGAAGAGAATAAATCCGTTTGTCTTAAGCATTAAGTTATGACACAAAAAGTTACGATATCGCATACACTAAACAAACAAAATCAAATTTGGAAAGTTACTAAGTATGCTAATGTTATAAATCAAGTCAAATCTAAGCGTTAAAAAGTTATGATGAGGAATTGGATGTTTTATTCCACTATAGTCACTCTCTGTGTAGTCACGCTCCAAATCATCATGGCTACTCCCACAAGCAAGCATGAGTTATTAGTGTTATCCATTTGAGAATTAAACAAATATGTTTTCGTACGTTCGCTGTTTTCGCCTTCCATATGGTTGGGCTGATGAAGCGCTGAGTATCGTGAAAAAAGAGTCAAATAACAGATTATAACAATACGTATAAGCCTCAAGACCGCAAAATGTTTACAAACAGTTAACTAATAGAAAATATTATAAAAGACGATGGCTTTTTGTAGACTTTAACCGTCCATTCGAGATATTAAAAAAAAACTTTAAATCATCTATGCTACAAAAGAAGATATTTTACTACTTTTGAAGGTTTAATAAACCCGGAAAATGAGTTAATTAGATCAAATTTCTTCGTATCCAGAACTTAACATCATCAATGACCAGCAAAAGTAAGAGGACAAACATGATTTTAGTAAATCAGAAAAAAAAACTGAATATCACTCACTGAACTTAAAGCGTGGCGATTAAATATCCAAGTAGTATTAATAAAAAATCGATTGAATGACATTCTTCCAAGCCCATGTGGAGTAATAGCATTGGAATTTATATGTTTATGCAACAAGAATGATAAAGTGTGATTATTAACGACTGACTGATTAGTCATCGATGTAGTGTCCATTGGCTGGGAAAAAAGCAAATAAATATGCATGCGTGGTAAAATTTGTAAATTAAAATATTAGACGAATTTAAAGGTGACATTCATTAAAAAGTGAACAATACGAGCATTAAACAGAGATGGGCAGTGACCTCTGAAATGATTAGTGAAATATTACAACACCATATAGATTGGTATTCGAAAATTGTTGATAGCATAGAAGAAAGTGGTGCACAAATAACCGTTTGTACCAAGTCTAAAATGCATAATCATTGTCATCATTTTACCTAGTGTCTCTTGTGTCAATGAAGTCTAATAGCATTAATAAGTCTAGTATACATGGCAGCTCCTGAATTGACTACTTCCACTTATTTGTTACCTCAGCGAACAGAACTTTTTCTGGAAAATTTAAAAACACCTGAATCTCGCAGACATTTCTAAAAGGTATATATATATATATATATATATATATATATATATATATATATATATATATATGAAGACGTTGGGAGTGGATTGGACATACATTGAGGAAATCACCAAACTGCATCACGAGACAAGCCCTAACTCAGAATCCGGAAGGGAAGGCCAAAGAACACAGCACGCCGGGAAATAGAAGCAGATATGAAAAGGAAGGGTAGCAACTGGAAGGAACTGGAAAGGATTGCCCAGGACAGGGTTGGATGGAGAATACTGGTGTGCGGCCTATGCTCCTCCACGAGGAGTAACAGGCGTAAGTAAGTAACTGATATATATATATATGCTCGCTCTACGGACTACAGTGGTTGGGCCGTGTTACAAGTATCAAAGTTCCATTTACTGAAATATTCAATGTTGAACGGAGTATCACTAGGGTCGGAGAAAATGAAAGTGGTCAGATCAATGAACAGTACCACCGCATGAAGCTACCATCCTTGTTTAAATCATGTAGGAAAACACAGTCGGCTAAGGACAAGGTTTTTGTAATGAAGGATTTCAGTAATAATTGATCACGGTTAACCTCTCAATATAGAAAACCTTATTGTTCTACACTTGCATTGAAATGGAAAAAACAAAGAAATCGATCTGAAAGTTTGAAATATCACAATTTATCTTATCTATAAAGGAGAATTCATATTACAATACGACGATATAAAATTCCCTACGTATTAAATCAGTTCGTCATAATATTCTCATAAAATCTACGCAAATAAACAGAGTGTATACATTTTACGAAGAAGAAAAGGGAAAAAAAGTAGTATTATTCACACATTATACACTCATGATATATTTTGATAATTATTAACCAGAAGTCATACTATATATGAATACATATTAATCTGATGATTACCTGATTGATAAAAGAATTATAAATATTCTCCCACAAATATAGAAGATGTTCTTTTAATATTGCTTTTGAGTTTGGATCTGCTTCGAAAAGTTCGTTGATCTATTATTATTATAAATTAATCATTGTGATCGGAATAAGAGTTTATCATTAAAAAAGACATACATAAAACAAACACAGTTAATAAATTAATTCATTAATTAGAACTAATACTTATTGATAATGTGATTAACAATTTAATTAGGAAAACTACAATAATTTATCAGAAAAAAGAGACAGACAACATCATTACTAAAACTAACTACAGTTCACCTAAACGCATAAAGAATTATAATTTTCATTCCAAGCTATTCAAGAGGAAGTCTTTTTTAAATGCGTATATATTTCTTGTCAATAAAATTTACAAAGCTTTTCGTAGTCCGAGGTAACAAAAGAAGTCGTACAAAAAACAGGTGGACCAACCGTATATATTCTTAGGTTGTCTCTTGCCTACAGCCTCCAAAACAACTCTACTGACGTGCAAAAGTATAGTACAGGAACAGGCTCGAAACGAACGAGAAAAATTCCCTGTTAGTTTCTAGTCAATCAAAAACAACCTAAGTGAAAAGAGAGTTTGTGAATTAGAAAACAATAATATTGCAAAGTGTAAACAGACGTTACGCTATTAGTAGGTCTATTAATGCCCGATAAGAGGACACAGTAGATAGATAATATCTCTACTACGTAGCTGTTCATTACTATAACTCGAAGAAAGTATTCTGTAGAACAAATATCAACATTAGTCGGAAATTATGATATAAGTATAATTACGCCATAAATGAATGAGAAACTAAGTAATAGGCTAATAACTGATTCATAAGAAATTAAGGAAAGTAAAACATAATGATAGTTTGTAAACCAAATGAGAAATCACAGCCAGGGCAAATGAGAACACAATCATCTAAATGCTTAACTATTATACAATAATTCTTTGCAAGATAGTTCCAAAATTTAACGCTCTTCACAATATTACCAATATAACAGAAGCAACCAACTTTTCTGACCACTTCACATACCATACATGGCTAGTTTTATCAGTCCTAGTGAACCAAACATCCGTGAAATCTTTACAAAGACACCATGACGGTCTGAAGATATCCAGGTGTCCATTAATTGGTAAGTATAAAGCACAGAACAACATTCTTAATGAATGGTTAGAGTGTCTAATATTCGAAGTCTAAAAATAATTACTAGTCTATGGTGCAAGTACTATTTAAGCATTGTTGGGGTTGAACATATGAAAACTTATCAATAGGGTTGTTGGAATTCGCTTTACAAATATCGAGACAAAATAATGTTAACTAATGAAGAAGTTGGGTAAAAGCATTCATTCGCGAACACATGCCCATATACTTGGCCTTGAGTAACATTATTTGTGTGAGAGCCAGTCCAAATTGAAGCAGATGGGGAGAGATTCAAACCTGGGACGTAATGGTTGAAAACTTTGTACCCTAATGACTGTTGAGATTGGTGAAAAAAGTGTAATGACTAAATTAAGATATCTTGCTAATCAGCGAAGTCACATTCTATTGGTTTAAGCTATTTACAAAATGTTGACCACATAGTTATTATTATTATTAGTTAATCACATAAATATTGGTACAAAGAAGCACCAGATATATATGCGTCACACAAATCTCATTCGATTTGTGTGAGGGCTTTGATAATGTCCTGGTGCCCAAACTGAAGCAGGTGGTTTTCTAAGGGGGCCACACCCCGAGCCTTCGACCTAAAGGTCTGATCCATAAGGCAGTGGAGCATCGTAAGGAGATGCACTCCCATGGTAACCGGTGGCCAACGATTGATTCATACGCCATTTGTTCCCTCAGGATACTGGAGCCCATGTACACCATTGCTTTGGAATCAGGGTTTTCCAACTTCCCTAGGTGGACTTTCTGTGTCCACCAACCCGGTTAAAGGGACGGACATTCGCTTTTTGTCCTCTCAATTTCGTAAAACAACACCCCGGTGAGAGAAGGCAGTGAGTAGGACTTCCCTGGCAGAGGCTATATTAATTAATTTATGATACTTCCGTGGATCACTTTAACATCCTATTCCTCTTCTGCTTTTGGGACGTATGACAACTGGGACTGATATGAATTACCATAAGGAGTCCCATATTCTTCTGGCTCCTTTTTTTCTCTGATAATTACATTCCGTAAAAATCATTTGGTTTCAATCCTTCAAGGCTTTTAAGGTATGTGTGAAAATTAGAATTAAGGGCACAAAATTGATAAAGCAAAGAGCACGAGTTGAACAAAATGTTTTAAATGAATCCAATGAGTATCTTGAGCCATTAAAACTAGTGATCTTCAAAGAGAAAATATTTTTATTTCTAGTAAGTTGATATATGAATGAACAACTTCAGAAATAACAGTCGAATTGAACCTACCTTATCGGATATCCAACTCCGTCCAGCTTGATAAGCATTTGTAACTAAAACACTAAACATCCCATCAACTTGTTCCATTTTAGGAAGCCAACTAAAGAAAAGAAATAAACAACAAAATTACTTTTCTAAACTCAAAACTTGCATTTTACAGAAATATGGTGAGACTGCACTCCCATATCTAACAGCTTACAAAAACTTTTCGAATATCACCAATGCAATACACAAGATGTTCTAATTGACTGAAGTTCTAAGAGCTTGATTTTGGAGGCATGGTACAACAGAGAAATTTGAAATCACAACTGACGATTTGAAATGAAACAAAACACCTTTGTACATGTTTTCAGGCCACATAAGTTTATTGAGTGAAGAAGGACGTATTCATTTAGTTTAAATGTTAATGTAAGATTGTTGAAAAACTTTGCATAATCTTAGATACTTTTATTACATAGCGAAGAAAGAATACGAAACTGAGTGAAGAGAGCAAATAAAATGTGTGAAAAATTAATAAAATCCTTTATTCAGTCATGTCACATCATTTCTGAGCATAAAAACTACGGGTGACTGTGAACAAGTGGTGGCCTCAACATATTATCTTAACTGATGGATATTGTTATAACTTGTGGCCTGTCTGGACGCCCTGTTAACGTATAAGGTGATAAGACCGCCAATCAGAGAGCAGCGAATTATCGACCGGACCAATGATACCCGAAAACCGTACGGAAAGTCTAGAGTAATTGTCGGTCCTGCTTTCTGCCTAACCCGGTCAGTTAAGTACAGAACACCAATAACAGCCTCTGCAATATGAATCATTATATTTCAAACATACTCGGTTTATATACTAAACAGACAGACCACATCGTACCGTAAAATAGGAAACAACATCTGTACAAGATTTAGCCAAATGTGACTGTGAATGTGGGAGGCAGTAATTAATAGACTGAGAATAATTCAAGATTGGTAAATCGTATAGTAATAGTTCATAGGTCAAAACAAAGCTTATAATAAAAGGAACATGAATATGAATAGTTGAGTTACTTAACAATTATACAATAGGAAATATACGTATCATATTGGTATATAAATAGTTCTCGACAGTTACCACTAATAATTCTTATCGGGACACAACATACATGCAATTGGTCTAAACCTTTACTCAAATTCTGTGTTTATAATATCAAGTTATATCTCATCAGATAAGAGTTTTAACGAGAAACGTTATTGTGTCAATAAGAAGAACCTGCTGGTACGTTGGAATCTTGCAGATTTGAATAATTATTGTTGTGCCTTCACTGACGAAGGGAGATCATCATACCGGGTAGTAATGTATTGGTTGATACGTTACATTGTATTTTCCCCAGATGAAACAACTGTCTGAAATCCAACTCGATAAACCACCTATGATAACCATCGTTTTAACTCAATATTTGGTTGCAAATTCCTTTCCACTATTTCTCTTAAATGAATAGTTTGCATCAAACTGAGTTTTATTTTGTCATATGACTGAGTTCGTAAATCAATCGTTTAGTTTCTCCATATGAGACTTGAAGATTGGTTCAATGAGCTGCTTATTGATTCAGCCATCTCAATTGAGTTGTGTATAAATCGTCAGTTATTTAAGTAGGTATCTTCTCGAAAAATCACTAAACTGATTCCACAGAATGATGTAATAATGTATACATTGAAATAGGATTTATATTTAGGTGGGAAAGTAACAATATTTCAAGAAATATGATGTATAAAATGTTGAAAAGTTTCCGGATGAATTGTACATGTGAAATGTATAAATAAATGCAATGTTCGTAAATATCCTTACGTACATAAACACAAATACACAATATCCTATAAGTGACTAATAATTCTAGAAACATCAGAGAAATAGAAATAGAGAATGTTGGATACCAATAAAACATATGATCATCAAAGAATAACAGTATTTTATAATGATACTATTTGTTGGTAATCGAACTAAAGAACATTTTCATTTTCATAAACAGTTAATAAATGAATATATTTACAACTGAACAGCTTTATAAGTCACTGATGCTAGTCACTGTATTCTCTGAAAATAAATATACACTCCGGACGAATCACTTAGGCCGCTACCCTCCAATATTTCATTTACTAACTGTTATCAGAGTATTTTCATGATTTAACAATGACTAAGCTGCAGGGATGGTTATTTATGATTGCACAATATTTAGCAATTACTGCTTTATAACAAATTAGCATAGAACTTGACAATTTGTATTATATCAACTCAAAATCAAACTACTGTCATATATTCATTAAATCAATCAAGTTTGAAATAAAATGAAAATAGTAATTAAGATTTATTTAGGCCATTTTATACATTTACTGTTTGATGTATTAGGTTTTGTTTGGTAAGATGAGCTCAACCTAACAAGTAAGTATAGGAAACTTTATATATTCGGTTTTTTTAAGATTCTTGAACTCTAAAAGTCAAGTACAATTATCATTATATTATTATGAATCAAAAAGCCTTATTGGAAACGTATATCAATAAATCTTATGCAAATAGTGTGGTTTGAACTTGTAGCATTTACATTTAATGGAGATTTGAATGTAAACGATGAAAATACCTGCATACCCTTCTTTTAAACTGCAATTCAATGACCTTTAAATAATCATACATAAGCTGAAAGACAAAGATCAGGCGTTAGTACAAGTAAAATACTATTATATATGTTTAGAATGTCATATATTGACAGACTACACTGACGACCTACTACTTGACTACTACATCTGATGGGAAAACTAGTAAATCAGCTTTCTGCAGAAGGAAAATAGAGAAACTATGTACACTGTTCATTGTCAGTCGAAATATTTTAGTTACTCAATATCTGACTCCAGTTACATCTTTTGATGATTATTATCGAAACACACATTTCAGCTACCCTCATATATAATTATCGACTTAACTCGTGTCAGAGAATAACGAAATAAGATAATTCACGCAGGAGAATGAATTTCGAATACGAATACTATGTACACTCGTTGGTCTGAACAGAATCTGAGAAACGAAGGGAAAAAGCGAAAAGAAGAGAGCTAAGCGGACCGGAGAAGGTGTGGCAGCTAACTAAATATGATAAAGCGTGAATCAATATTTATATTCAGACAAAAATAAATTACAGACACGTGATGTAATGAATAGGGTAAGCAATCAACACATATAGATCACATAAAAAGTCCGGGTTAATAAGCGAATAATTGACAAGGTCAAAATGTGACTTGGTAAGAATGAATAAATTGGTCTGTTCAGAAGCTACAATAACCTATGTGGGCTTGGCGTAGTATCATCCACTACAACATCTAGAATATCTACTCCAGTTTCAATACCACTTACCTATATTCTTCACTGTTCAGTGCTTTATTGATAAAATCACTTGTTAGGGATACCAAATGAATACTTTCATTGTGAATCTGAAAGAACAAAAGAAATTATTATTATTATTATTATTATTATTATTATTATTATTATTATTATTATTATTATTATTATTATTATTAGTGTGAGAAACAGTATAAATTATGTTATAAAATCTGTGAGTACCAATGTGGTGGTAATTGTGCTAACATGGTAATTTGTAACAATGTACTCTCAAGTTTCTATTTTAATTGAACAGTATAATAAGTAAACAAGAGTTGGTCAGTAAACTTACAAAACTACAAAATACGATCCAAAATAAACAGATACTTTATGAATAAGAATTAAGAGAATTGAGCGAAGAAAATTTTCTTTACGACGATATCATTTACTCAAGCTGTACAGTCGTATTTATAATTAATTTTTATTTAAAAAAAACAGTTTATCGAAAGATAGGACGATCGCATCATATTACGTGTCAAACAAAGTTATTTGGTAGTCGAGGAGTGAAGAGAAACAATAGGATGAAAACAAATGTGAGAAGGATCGGTCATCTACTTGATGAGTATGAGAAGGGTGAAGAATGGATCAAAAACGTGATAATGACTAACAATTATAATTGAGGAGATTAAAAACACAAGAAAGATGTAACAAAATCACATTACCGTGTATAAGGATTAAGTGTTAGGGCCATGGTAGAATGATGGTTTGCGTGTATCTTTTGCACATCGAGTTCAGGTCTGAAATGATGGGTTGCCAGCGCTTCTGAAAAGCATAAGTCATTAATTTGTGTTTCCTTCGAACCAAACCGTCTGAATCTATAGATGATTTTAAAGGACCTGTGAGGTAAGGGCATGTGACTAGGAGTTCACAAGATTTTATAATAATGAGCTGTTGATTGATTGACATTCATCTTTCGAAAACCACGCGCGATGTGTCCCACGGATATTCACCTCCAGTGGTAAGGTCCCTACCAGTACGGAGCTAACACGAAAATCACTCACAAAAAAGTTGTGTGTGCCCGACCACAAACAGTTGGACACTGTGGTCACGCTCTCAAGTCACTAAGACCACTTCTAATCCAATTTTCGTTTCAGGTACCTCTAGAAGAATCCTTCCACGGTGTGAGCAACCGGGAAGAAATAACCCCCCCATACCTATAACAGCACTCAAGATCACTGTATTCATAATCGATCTCCTTCAATTCCTATTATTCCTCCTACCTCGACTTTCAACACCAAACTTTCTCTTTCGGCTTCCTCACCAAGTGTCACCATGGCCAACGATTCTAGTGCGCGAAACGCTGTCCCAGGTCTACTAAAACCTCGCTCCAAACTACACATTAGAGCCTTCAACGTATCCCATCAGGAGTTGGACGTAATCCCATCTGACTGGTCACAATCATTTGTTGTTTCAATATATAAGAAAGGATCCAAATCACTCTGTGATAACCAAAGCGGAATTAGTTTAACTAATATAGATTCTAAAATACTAGCCTCAATAATTATCGGGCGCCTAACTAAGACATGTGAACTGCAAACACGAGAAAATCAGGCTGGCTTTAGACCTAGTCGTGGCTGTATCGACCACATATTCACTATCCGTCAGGTTTTAGAGCACAGACATGTTCATCGGCGTCCGACAATGATAATTTTTCTTGACTTGGAAGCAGCATTTGACTCTGTAGACCGAGAGGTTCTGTGGCAGTGTCTGTCATTGAAAGGTGTACCTCAGGAGTACATAAACCTTGTGAAGGCTATTTACTCGAACACTATCAGTCGAGTAAGAGCCTATGACGGACTGTCATATGATTTTACAACCTCAAGTGGTAGCCGACAAGGTTATCCACTATCCCCATTTTTGTTTAATTTCATTATAGACCTACTGCTGGAAATAACGTTATCGTCGTCTGAATTTTCGGGCATTGATCTCCTATCAGGAGGTCTACTTATTAACTTAGAATACGCAGATGACATAGTCGTGTTTGGAGAAGACTGATAAAATGCAAAGTCTTTTGATAGCACTGAGTAACAATGCCAGGATGTTTGGGATGCGTTTCTCCCCCTCTATATGTAAACTGTTTCTCCAGGACTGACTTGCGTCAACACCTGAACTAAGGATAGGGAGTGAAGTAGTCGAACACGTCTACAACTTCACTTATCTTGGAAGTCTGATCAGCCCTAATGGGTTGGTGTCTGACGAAATCTCAGCACGGATTCGAAAAGTTCGTTTGGCTTTTGCCAACTTACCTCACCTATGGCGAAGGCGAGATATTCGTCTATCAATTAAGGGACGAGTATACTGCGCAGCAGTTCGCTCTGTTCTACTTCACGGCTGCGAAACATGGCCATTAAGAGTAGAAGATACTCGTAAGCTACTAGTATTTGACCACAGATGCCTTAGATATATTGCTCGCATCTGCTGGGATCACTGGGTAATAGTGAGATTAGACGCAGGGTATTAGAGAATGATGGTAAATCCGTTGATGAGGTTGTGAATCTATATCGACTGAGATGGTTAGGCCACGTGTTACGTATTCCTGAAAACCGATTACCACGGCACACAATGCTGACTAGTGTTAGAGATGGTTGGGAGGAAGTTAGGGACGGTCAAACCAAAACGTGGCCTCAGTCCTTGAAGTCACTAGCTTCTTTATTTATTTATTTGTGTAAAGAAATGAAATGAAATGATGAATTCTATTGACGATACTATTCCTGCTCATACTAGAAGCAAGACAATTTACATTATTATTATTATTATTATTATTATTATTATTATTTAACATATAGCTAACTCAATCCCTTTTATCCCCAATTTCTGTAACCTTACTTTTCAACTTATGCAGCAGCTCGCCCATGGTGGAAAATCTGTCCTATCTAAACGATCTAAAGTCACTGTCTGGTTGAAAGTGAATGCTTCCACCGATAATGAATACTGAAGCAGTCTTTCTGAAACCACGTACGCCGTTCAAGCTGGCTTCCTTCAACGTTCGCACACTAATGCATATCAGACAACAGATAGGGCTGGCTATGTCTTTGGAAGGTCTTAATGTTGATGTTTGCTGTCTATCCGAGACCCGTATTCAAGACTCTAGTGAAGTACTACAAATCCGCTCTCCATCTGTCGCCTAGAAAAGCTTGTTACACGTGCGCTTATCCGGGGACCCTGTGGCATTTTCGTCTGGTCTTGCTGGCGTTGGTGTCGCACTAAGCGCTAGAGCTGAGGCAGCACTAATCGATTGGATCCCCATTAACAGTCGGTTATGTGCTGGTAGATTAGAAAGTTCCATCAAAGTGAGAAGAAATCGACGTGAGAAACGATGTCTTTTCGTCATCTCCGCCTATGCTCCAACAGATTGCAGCCCGGATGCAATCAAGGATGAGTTTTACCATCAGTTAACAGTTCTCCAGAAAGCGCGTTCGACAGATATTGTAGTACTAGCCGGAGACTTGAATGAACAGGTAGGGTGTCTAGGCACAGAAGAGAGTCGTTTAGGTGGCCGATGGGGACTTGTTAGTCGCAGGACAGATAACGGAGACCGTTTGCTGCAACTGTGCACAGACCACAACCTGTTTCTGGCCAGCACCAACTTCCGGCACAGTCATCGCCGGTGTGCCACCATGGCCGGTGAAGACTGATCCACCAAACGAGGCGGAAGTCCGCAAGGAACTCCAACTCTTGAAACGTTACAAATCACCGGGCCCAGATGACTTACCTCCGGCTCTTTTTAAAGATGGTGGCGACTTTCTGACTAAGGAATTGACTGTGTTGTTTGCAAAGATTTGGGAGCAAGAAAATGTTCCAACATCTTGGAATGAGTCGATAGTCGTCCCTATCTTTAAAAAGGGTTCGCGTTGTTCCTGCAATAACTATCGGGGGATAAGTCTACTTTCGATTGCGTCCAAACTATTAGCTTCTATCATTCTTCGTAGGTTGTTTAAAACCCGAGAACGATTGACTCGCGAGGAGCAGGCTGGTTTTCGTTCTGGTCGAGGATGCATTGATCACATCTTCACCCTCCGCCAAATGTTAGAACACCGTCATACTTATCGCAGGCCAACAATCGTAGTGTTTCTTGATATCAGGGCGGCCTTCGATTCGTTGGACAGGACTGTTCTCTGGGATTGTCTATTGAAGAAGGGTGTGCCTGAGAAGTTCATTAACATCTTAAAGGCCCTGTACACGAACACCTCAGGCAGAGTGATGGCATACAACCACCTTTCTCCCTTGTTCCATTCAAGCAGTGGGGTTAGGCAGGGTTGCCCGATCTCACTATTCCTCTTCAACTTTGCTATCAACGACATCCTAGAAACAGCTCTGATGGATGTAAGTAATGGCGGTGTGGATATGTTGCCTGAAGAACGACTTCTCGACCACGAGTATGCGGATGATATTGTCTTACTGTGCGATAATGCTCAAGCCATGCAATCAGCACTTAATCAGTTGGCAATCAGTGTCCGCAGGTACGACATGTGCTTTACACCCTCCAAGTGCAAAGTACTTCTACAAGACTGGCAGGATTCTCATCCTGTACTCACCCTATATGGTGAGCAGATTGAAGTAGTTGAGAAGTTCGTGTATTTAGGTAGCTATATAAGTGCTGGTGGTGGCGTGAGTGATGAGATTGATGCATGTATAATGAAAGCCAGAGCGGCTTATGCCAATCTGGGCCATCTTTGGCGCCTTCGTGATATTAGTCTGGCTGTAAAAGGTCGGATCTACAACGCGTCGGTGAGAGCAGTTTTGCTCTATGCTTGTGAAACCTGGCCTCTCCGAGTTGAGGATGTTAGACGTCTCTCTGTGTTCGATCATCGTTGTCTCCGAAGGATTGCTGACATCCAGTGGCAACACCATGTTAGTAATGCAGAGGTTCGGCATCGTGTGTTCGGGCACAGAGACGATAATTCAATTGGTGTCACCATCTTGAAACACCGACTTCGGTGGCTTGGACATGTTTTACGAATGTCGTCCCAGAGACTTCCACGTCGTGCATTATTTGCCGACCCTGGGACTGGTTGGAAAAAGCGGAGAGGAGGTCAGTGTATGACATGGTGTCGTGGCATGAAAGAAAGCTGCAAAAGGCTGGCTTCTGTTGGTCCTTCACGACTCCCTGGCTGGGGTCCGAGAGATGGTGCAACACAGTGGCTAGAGACGTTATCAGATATGGCTCAGAATAGAAGCCAGTGGCGATCCTGCTGCAACCTTCTTTTACTTTCTAAATAAAGAATGGTTCTAACTTTCTTAACTGAAAGAGTCTTCTGGTTGTACATTTCAGTCCGCCTTATCTTTTCATCCCTTCTCTTCCTACTTTCATTATTTTGTGTGGCGCATATGTACCTGGTGCCCTTTTGTACCAATATATATGTGTTTAAATAAATAATAAATAAACACTAACTTCTGGTCTCAACCATATTGGCAGATGCGGACTATCTGGTTGAGGTCCGCGTGACCAACGTAACCAATGGTTTGAGACTCTTTGTGACATGGCTCAGAATCGATTACAATGGCGTAAGCGTATACACTCTTTGTCTTCCCTTAAACCTTGAGATTAAAATTGTTTCATATCTTTCTTTCTACATGTACTATATCCTTATATACAATCTTTTATATATTACCACCATTAAATTAACTAGTTCTATGAATTTGGTGTTCATCTTGTTGTGCTAATGAGGTATGGCAACTTGAACCGATGCATATATGTGCCTGGTTCTACGTTGTAGTTGACTGACTGACTGGGTTTCACGTCACGTTCAACAAACCTGGATAGATAGCAGTTTTGAAGAACATATGTCAGGAGTTGTATAGTTTCTCGTCTATCGTATCTCCCGACAATGTTCGCCTAGCACTTGATGATAAAAATTGAATTAAGTTTCTTCTTCTACTTAAATAGGTCCAGTTGTGAAAATTCGTGTACTGTCCGTCCCAAGTTGGTTTTTGATATATAGACCTATGCAATGTATTTATGAGTTGCACACAATAAAATAGTTAGGACGAGGAACTAAGCCGGGTATAATTCATTCACAATAAAATATGTAACTACATTTCACTACAAAAGTGGAAATTTGCATACGAAGTCCTTGAGAACACAAGCGAAAAGTCGCTTTATACAACTGCAGGGTTGTTTGGCCTTTTGTAAAGGCAAGGTATATTGGCTTCAGTGAACATTTTGGCAATTGTTTCATAAATATATTGAGAATCTGTTCATAGAAAACCAATAGCTAGCCACATTACAGGTCTTATAAGGGTATTCAGTTTCTACTTTTTCACCGTTTAGTACAGTAGATAAACAGACATGTCAAAATGAAACTACCCACTAAAGTTTTTAGACTACGTAACAGCAGAAAAACCGGTTAAAAACGACAAGAATTAATATTGAGTAAATAAGCTGAAGAAGGAAAAGAACAAAAGTAAAAAGACATTGGAGACTTGGGAGAAAACAAGGGGTGAATACATCGCTGTAATCGATATTGAATTATATTGCTCAGAGTTAACAACTAATGATCTTCATGTTAACACTTATCGGGGATTCGGCCATTAAAACTTCTTAGCAACGTCAGCATATTTAGTGATCAGGTAACAACAGTTACTCCGCCATAAGAATATCTTTAAGCAAGCTAGAAATATTTTCCCTCGCTTATTTTTCCCGACTGAAATTAGCCCTTCTTATTATTAATACAAGTGTATCCATCATTTTTCATATGCTTAAAAGGTTTACCAACGACCAAAAATAAGCTTTGATTTACTTTCAGCTATATCAGATCAAATTCTACTATTTTACTTCCAATCAAAAAGCTCCATTCTCAGTCACAAGTAGACTCCTTAAAATATTACAAGTAAACACGGAAAGATACTAAAAATGGACCCCAATGATCCATTAATACGAGAGGTAAAGATAGTCGTTAATGAGTTACAACTAAACTGCCAGACCAATTTTGATGCAAATCAAAAAGCTCCCTTTATCGAAATAGACACACAAAAGGTACAAAACGATCTCGATGCTTCAGGGACACGAAATAGTTTTGACCTTTATTGAGTCTCGTAGCCTACTCCATTCCTCTTTTTATTCTACAAAACTAACGAACTCCAAGTCCAATCCAAAATACAGCTTGAATTACCCTTTAATACACTCTATCAACGAATAAACGTTATCATCCTTTGTATATATATGGCTCCCATGACAAAAATACACGATAGTCCTAGAACCGTTAGTGTACCTGGAAATTCGGTGAATATTTTCGCAGGACTTGATTCTATTCGGTTCCTCTTCTTTTTCTCCCCACACACTTAAGCGTCAGATTCCCGAAGAATATAACTCAAAATGAATCAAGAGAGTACAGGTATGAATCTCAAGTTATGGTGAACAAATCTATTTGGCACTTAATAAACACTGATAGTCCTATAAGCTTTCCGTAAATAGATCTATTATGTAATAGCGAAATAATCAATTTAATTTTGAATTACTTGGTAGTATTATAAACAATAGTAATAAGAACTATTTCGACATACCTGAAACGCTAAAAACATTGTCAGTAGACAAAAAGTGAAAATAAAGAAGACAAGAATAAAAAGACTGACTACACTGTCTACCCATGAGTCCAAGTAACGACAAAGCTACAAGAAATGAAAAACCAAAGTATCATTAATTTCATAGAACTAATATCAATTTACCCGTTCAATATGCAAAACCATAAGACGTAAAACAGATTGACACATTTTATAAGTCCTGAGTTCATTATCAAAATAAGATAAAGTAGAGCATTCAAATTAGTAACTTACACAAACAATATAGTGATAACACTATTTAATAACCTCATATAAGTTCCTAAACTCAGTATCAAGCCACGCTTTCGTTATGAGGGTTAATGATACTACCTAGCTGCCCAAACTGAAGTATACGGTGCGAGATTCTACAGCTCTATTATGCCACTACACACAAACTAGAAAACAAGCTTAAATGCTACTACTGGATATGCAAGATGACAATTAATTGAATCTCCAGTCTATCAAGTTAACTTTAGTTCCAAATGAAACATAAAACACAAAGCAGCAGTTTCTACATTGTTTCCACTTGATTAATTCCATTAACTTATTTAATGCGATCTGAAACTAAGGGTTTATTCCACATCAAAGTTTAAAGGCAAGCGTAATAAAAAAACTGTACATAAGTTGTGCAAATCCATTTGAACATTGTTGAATATAGTTACTAAATTGAAAAATATATAACAGAAAACCTAACCACTAGTGCAAAAGATTTACAAACCATGACGCAACTATCAGTTTATCACTTCACCAACAGGTTCACTTTGCATGGTCTAAACTTTTGACAAATAAATGTCAGTTATAAACAGTAAATTATTCAGTGATACTACTCTTTATCTGCTACCTTTACATTGTTGTTAGCAAACATGAATTATTATTAAGCATTCTAGCTAGACAGAGTGAGGAATATCAAATGAAAATTCATTATTCATCTTCTCAATCTTGAAGTCCAGTATTTCTTCACACATACTTTCCGATTCCGTCTTTTTGAACTATATCCTTTATGTTTAACCTTTCTTGTCATTATTCCCACTACATGATTTCGATCATTTTTGCCCATCTTGTCAATTTTATCTTCTCATGATAACAGTGGTAATGCCAATTTTGGCCAACGCATATTTCCAGGCTCTTAGTCAATGATAACTGACTTATTTCATGCACTTAAATTAATATGAATGACGATTATTGCTACAATCTTACGATCGTCAAATGTTGTTTTTTACAGATTACTTCATGAGTTTATTCAGAAAGAACTTGTGCACCACGCCTTAACAGATTACACTATATAGAGAAATATTTTAAAGTTATGAAAATATTTTTAAGGGTTTCAAAATGTATTACTAACATATTGGAGTATGAGTGCTACTCTTATCCTTATACGATTTGTTATCCAATCTTCAGTTATAAGTTCACTTAAAATCTACATAATCGATAAAGCAAATAAAAATGATATTTTGAGATGTAATATATGTTTATTACTATATTTTTCTCAAATATAACTTTTAATGAGCAACAATTAGCTGACATATTACTGACAAAAATGTCCTACGGTCGATTTATTAAAGTGGATTTTTATGGAATAGCAGTTATATACACTAGGTGGTGTTAGCATATCTTCAAAATATGTGGTACTCCAAATCAATAGTTCGGATTGTTAGGTGAATAGCTCAAAGCAAATATGACTACTTCAAATTGAGAAAAAAATTTCTAATTTAATTTGACAGCAGATTACTTGATATTACGTTATTTTACTACTCTTGAGGTTTGATGTCGAGAAATAAGACCTTGAATAAATAAAATTATAGGTGGAAACAAAAGTTAGTCCTTAGTCTCTATGACCAGCAATATCCCAAATTATGCAACATACTTTTCTATCGCAATATCCCAATAGTGTAAGTAATCCGTGCACAGGCCTGGGGATGACTGACTTTAAATAAGCTTTTCTTTGTTCCATGGTCAAAGTCGGAGTAATGGTCTGTAGTAGACTGTTCAGTTTACAAAGAACCCAATGTGATAGTTCTTGCAATTTTAAACAAAGTGATAGACGAAAAATCCCAAAGAAAATTAAGATAAAACAAATCAGATATAATGGCCATTGATAAAGCCAAATAGCGACGAGAAAATGAGCCCAAAATAATGCAAGAAAACAGCGATTGACAAATGAATCGTCAGAATAGCAAGTATTGTTTGTATAAGCTGCGTCAAAGATGTTTCCCGATCTAGGAAGGGAATTACCTCTCACAAGAAACCTGTAGAGAAAAAAGTTTTAAAGTTATTTCAACTGACCTATTATTGAGCAAAATAACAAAGATTGTGCAAGAAAACGATCTGCATATGCGCGGCAGAAACAGTACTTGTAGGTTTAGATAAGGATAATTACCAAATCTGCATAACTTACAAGGTTTATTCAGTTTTCCTATTAAAATGCTTGCCAGCTTTAGTGGCTGCACTATTATTTTAATGTCTTAAACACAGCACAATTTCGTACGAGCTCAGACATAACAAAACTCCTACTATGACACGATTATAGTTCAGTCTCATGTAAAAATGTAGAGCTCATTATTTTGACGTGTTTCAACAAATGAAAATCTTACTTCAAACAATAGAGGATCAGAAACAAGACTGGAAATAGATTTTTTACATAAAACAAATGATTCAGACATTTGAAAACAGGTTATCGACGAATTACACAGATGGCTGACTGTTACATAAACGCACTTTTGGCCAACTGTGACCTATTTCACTAAACAGTTTCATTGTGCATACAATGAAATGTCCGTTAAGGCTATTGAAATTTGGCAGGAAACTTTTTCGTGGTAGAAATAAATAATAAAATTATCAGCGAATATGAAATAAGACTAAACCAGTGAGATATTATGTTGATTTTCTTAACCTAATAATTCCTTAAATCTTAACTTAGCCCATAAATATTGACTCAAATGCAGTCATGAGTTATTGAATTACCTTAATACTCAAATTCAATCTAGTCATCTGGGATACATAAAACTATGACTTGTTCATGCACTTACCCTTTTCCTTCCAATATTGCACTCCATGATTTTGCGGAAGATAAACACAACTGCTCAGACATGAAAGCTCGGAGCTCGCTAACTGGATCAAACCCGTAGGATGATCCTGTCGGTACTGGAAGGAAAGCTTGCCTGAAATAAATGAATACAGGAGCAAAATTAATACACCCAAAGTTAAGTAAAAACAAAACATTTAGTTTGAATCAAAAATTTGGCGTCAACATTGTTTTGGTAAAATACAACTGATATGTCATTTAAAAAACGCATGCAATTATAATGATCTATAACTAGATGACTGATGACGAAATTCTGTAAGAAATCTTTTTTTTTTTTTTTTTTATGTTGGTTTGTTCTCTGAGCTGGATGGTTTGGTCGTGGAGCTTTCATCGTCCTTCTGAACGACATCATCAGCACAAACTGTAAGAAATCCGATGTCATTATTATGCTCAATGAATATCATACTGAAATTTTACCTAACATTAGATATGTGGCAGACGACCTATAAAACCATATTCCATGTTACTTGGTTTACTTTTAAAATATCCTTATGATAAAAACATACGTCGTCCAGAAGGATTTGAATGTGACCAACTTGGTCTTGTGTGCTGTTACGGGTATGAGGGCTAATATCACTTCCCGACTGCCCACACTGTGGAAGGGTATTTATTGAGGGACCTGAAAAGGAAGTTGGGTTAATGTTGGTCTTAACGACCTGGGAGCGTGACCGCAGAACCCAAGGGACAACTGCTTGAGGCCGGTCACGCACGGTATTTTTGTGGGGTTTTTGATGTGTTAGCTTCGTTCTTCAAAGGGCCTTACCGCCGGAGACGGAAATCCGTGAGGTAAGGTGAGGCGTGACATTTTTAGGGTCGACCCTTTCAAACCCCGTCCTTCCGTGTGAGAAGGCGGCACCACTACAGATGCTGGTTGTTCGAGGGAAATACCTTACTGCTGTCACATCTCTCTACAGTCAGTAATACGACTTCGCCCTCAGACCTTGAGTCGCTGCTTTTAGTCTTACCGTCCTCCAATCGACCTGCCTGGCGTGGTGGGACCTACAGGAACATATGTTTCAGCCAACATAGGTCGGTTGGGTCATTATGATTAGGCAAGCCTGACCACCACGTTAAGGTAGCAGCTACGGTTGAGCCAGAACATCTGCCAGAGGATGCCATACCGATTAGTGACAATGAGTGGTTAGTGAGGTTCGATATCAGAAAAGAATGACGTTTTAACGGGCGTTTACTTAAATATCCCCCCAAAAAAAAATTATCACTTTTGATATTTGGAAACGAATACATACTAACCACTCTGTTTTTGGTTACGCAGATTCACTGCATATTAATAAACACTAAACAGCATGTACCCTGTCCATCGAAAATGATCCACGGTACAAAAAATACAAAATGACAAAGACGTGATTTAGCTTCTAAATATATTCAGTCAAAAATGTTACTCGATCGTTTCCAATTTTACATATATACTATCGAATTTCGAAATCACTGCTTCTAAGCACTACAGAAATGTACGATTTAACTTTACAAGACAGGCAGATTAGTGATGAACGCTGTTGAAAAACAGTTAAAATAGGTATGAAATATTATAATGCAGTGAAAGATCCTTACAGACTGATATTTCAGTTGGAGAAAGAGTATTTGGATTTATGAAGTATGACCAAGCATGAAATGTATCAGATATTTTATAATCAACTCATGAATACACCTCCCTTAAGTCTGTGGTTAACTGCAAACCACAGACATGCCGTGAATCCAGCTTGGTGACCCAGGAACATAGCTATTTAATTCTATCTTTAGACTGGTTTTACTTAATTCGATGTAACAAAAGACTTGTATCCTATTTTAGATAACAAGAGATAAATGAATTATAGCATAACGAGAGTCATATCTGTAAAATTCATTACTCTTATTTAACTGGTAATTTATTTTATTTTATTTAAAAACATAAATATTGATACAAGGAAGCACCAGATACATATGCGCCGCACAAATCTCATTTGATTTGTGTGAGGGCTGAGATACTGCCCAGGTGCCCAAACTGAAGCAGGTATTTAACTGGTAAAGACAGATATCGTCTAGCTGGTACTAATATCCTTACGTTGGTTGCTAAAATAGCGATCGTAATACTCAGAATTACTTCTTCGGTTCGTCTGGAACATTTTGTGACAGTGGAAAACTAACCTCAGAAACTGCGACCATCTTAGAGGAAGACCAGTTTGACGCTGTTGTCCTTCCACCTTTGTTTGACTTTGTTGTATTTGAGTAGAACCCTCGAAAGGCTTACTGAATTCCGTACTAACTTCTGCCAGTGTGTCACAGGAAACCGCACTCCTAATTAACTCGGAAGATCCCCCATCTAATGCAGTAACAGCATGGCAAGAAGCCCACCGTTCTGCAAACAACAAAAGTCAAAAATTAGTAGACAATCCCAAATAACAAGTCGACTACTGAAATATGATGTTAACTGAGCCTTGGAAAGTGAAATAACGTCAACATATCATGAGAACACGTTTCTGTTAATACTTATACACCTAGTAGACTTACTGAACATATTCAGCTGCTTGGAGAATTTTGAAAGGAGAAATCTATTTATTGACAAACCAAAGTACTGGATACACCAATCTACATTCAAAATTATAATTATTAGATTATTCGTGTACTCATACCACTCGCTTTCTCTTACTTGCTGATTCAGTTGTGACTGTTATGTTTTTGATAGTTTCAAGATAACTTTTTGGACTAACTACAGTACTTTACACAATAAGAATCTCATTATTTGTTACCGAACTGTTTACAGTAATCATTACCTATGTGACTACATCCCTTAAAGTTGCTCCACTGGTTTGTGGACCAGACCTCGAGGTCAGGGGCTCTGGAAGTGGCCTCCATAGAAAACCACCTGCCTCGGTCTGAGCGCCTGAGCAGTATCCTAGTCCTCACACAAATCTTAGGATGAAGTGTGAAGCACATATATTTAGTGTCTCTTTATACCAATGGTTATGTGTTTAAGCAAATAAATAATAGACTTTCAAACTCAACATGAAATAACAGCTGCAAACAAAATTGCACAGATGAAAAAGTACCACTGAACTAAATGTAAGTGCAACTAAATCACACATACTTAGCAAAGTCTAAAACATAAATCTAAAGGCTTGAGGAAAAATGTAAGCAAATTTTATATTATCCCGAATGAGGATGTAAATATCTGACCTTGACAACTGCAATCAGCTTCCTCAGTGAAACCACAATACCCAATTATCAAGACTGCAACAGAAAAGAAAAACACGGGTACCCTTAGAACCCCACCAAACGATGTACACCACAACAGCAATGAAAGCCAGAAAAAGTGTGACACACTGTACACGAAGTGGAAATTGAATGGTTTTACCAAAGTAATTATGCCGTAGATAATACCTAGAGTAATGACCTGTAAATCTAGGAAACTGAGTTGAACTTACTAACTTGAACGATGTCAATTCTAAGACGAAATCAATAAATGATATTAAGAAGTAAGAGATCCGTATGGATAATCCAGGGAGCCAAAAAAAATCAAAGTAGGAGGAAATGTTAAAAGCAAGGAGAAGAAACAGAGATGTTTTGAGTAAATTCCAGTGATCAGACATTTTTTTGATTAATATGGAGCAGAGAGCATTAGAAACTCGGAACGGCACAACAACAGTCTCCACTAAAAGTAACTGGTCTTCTGCATCAACACGCCTAACCCATCCCCGAATAACATCAGTTAACGAACTTTTGAATGGATATAACACCGTCCCACATAGAACAGCCCATAGAAGAGGTCTGATAAAAACCTGGAGAGTATAATAAACTGCCAGAATGGCAACGCATATGAAAGAAAGAATTATAAAAGCAGCGGCATTGTAAAATGCTTGTCGAATGGCCTTAATTTGAGAGCGTGACAAGCGTAGGCAGTGCTTGAAGCCGAAAGACGTAGTAACAAAAGATTCCATTAACTACTGGTAGACGTGATTTTCTCCACACTTCTGTAAGCACGAATGCCAGGATTCACCGGTGTCTCCACAGAAGACGCCGTTCATTCGAAATACCGCCCGCTGAGTAAGGTCATACAATTCCCAAGGCTAAGCACAGTCTACGAAACTGACAATGGTTCAGTTTCACCATATTATACACACTTTTTGGGTTATTGATATCTGTTTCCGTTTTTATCCTTCCTCTTCTTGCGAAACTCTGTAACGTCAGTTGCAGACAAAACATCCAGTATTATTGTAACAAAAAGGTAGGCTAACCACTCATTTTTAGTCATTATCTTGACTTTACAAGGTGTTTCAACCCATTTGGAAGCTTGTAGCGAAAGAAGGTTAATTACGGGATTTCAATTGCCCTGATGAGTTTGACAGCTACCCCAAAGGTGTCACTGATGCTGATGGTTTGATAACGCTTTTTTCCTTAACACCTTCATAGTCAAAGGATCATAAGCCCGGTCAAATCTAAAGTCATTAATGAATGAGTCCGAAGATGTATTTGCAAGGTTTTTGACATGTTAATTAGCATATTAACCAGGTTGCACGGCGTACCCATTCATGATCTGATACGAATGGGTGATCGAGAGCCTTTTGTTAATGTCCAGAGAAATTAACGAGGTCAGTGTCGGTACTGAAGACTTATGAGGCTTTTTATCTCTGAGCTTTTATTGGCACTACGTTATTGTCCAGTAAACTGAAGTTTGAGTAGAAACATTTTCAAACTTTAAAAGATACATAAGTGCATGTCGAATTACACCAGTATGTGCTTAAGGACTCTGATGATACACTGGTATTTTAGTTTGACAACTAGCGGCCAGTAGCACCTTCTATATTCGAAACTACTTACGCCCAATAGAAATCAGAAGTCAGACGAGAAGAGGTAGGAAAGATATATTAGATACGTTACCAATATATCGAGAGGCGTTCCTTCTTAGCTATCTAGTGAAACGTAGGAACTGTGTCCCACGCTGATTTGCAACGTGATCTGGTACGAATGCATAACCGAAAGCCTTCAGTTAAACAAGTTCACTAAAACAACTTGTTCAGCATCCGATGTCGAACACTTAATGAGCTATTGATTTTGGGGAATTATTTACAGCTACAACACAAAATGAGCGATAAAATGGAAAAAACTTATATTCATGTGTTCCGTAAACATGCAATAATGCAGAGATGATTTTCGTAGAATGAATGTTTTGTTTTTTCCAGAAAAAAGGTATATTCATATGAGCACATTAGCAACGAAAATAAAGATTTTTGACACAGCAGTACAAAAAATCGAGATGAAACCAAATGTTATGTACTGTTTTACGTCCACTGATTATTTGAGTGTTCTGGAAACCCAACTCTTCTTCCACAAAGCGTTGTTCTGAGTCTGTTTTCGTATACGACTGAAGTGTCGTCATGATTGCTGATTATCGGGTGAGGCATCGTAATTGTGAGACTAGTGTTGTTCGATTGTATCGGAGGGTAATTGACATGATTAGGGTTTCCTTCTAAACACGCGTCTTTGAAACAATCGGTGCTGATGCTACCGTTAGTTCCCTTCTTATCAGTGTTATAGTACCTAGAATTAATCTGAAGGACTTTAAAGAGTCCTTCGTATGCCATTTCGGGAGGTCGTCGAAGTGAGTTGCGAAGTACAAAGACGTATGTACTATATCGTAGAGCAGGCTGAACGGAAACACCAGTTGATCGCGGCCGAGTGGAAGCAGATTTAACTGAACTCATTGTTTGTAAGTCTGTTCGTATGGGAGTTTATATCCATATTCACTGAAAAAGATGAAGGACCAGAGGTTCTCCTGGAAGTCAGAGTGTCATTCCATATACGAGTTGAGCTGCAGTGTTCCCAGTGTCAGCTTTCACCGCATTGTGAATACCAAATAGAAAAACGTCTGTCCAACGTGAACCGTCTGCATCTGAGAGTAAATCTTTAGGCTGTCAGTGAAATCGTCGTATCCACGCGCTTGTTTGTGAGTGGTAGACAGTCGTTTGGAATCGTGTGATTTACAGTATTGTAATCAGGCAACGGGAAAGTTCAGATTCGAATTGAAGATCAAAGTCTGATGTAACAGATGAGAGGCAGACAAATGTTGCTACCCACGGTTTGACCAAGGAGCGGGCCACTGTTTCACCAGTGATCTGTTTGATGGGTACTGAGTCTGGCTATCAACTGAAACGGTTAAGAGATTGGGGTATGTGAAATTATGGTCTACTTCATTAGTATTGCTCTAATAAAAGATCGATTCCTAAAATTGTAGATATGTCATGATGTAAATGCTTAATCTATAAAATCTTACGTGGAAGCCATGTCATTGTCCACACCAGCTCATCCTATCGTAACAACCACGAATATGTGATGGAGAACACATTTAGGCTGAAAAAAGAACAATATATTCAACATGAGTAAAACGGTATAGGCTGCACAAGAATGATCACGCCTGCAAAGCTGAGACATGCTATTTGATGAATTTGAACTCATTGAATTCATTCTTCTTGCCTTTTCCATCGTTCGACTTTTTATGCGCATTAAATGTTGAATATCTATTTTCCCAATTGTCTGATTTTCAGCTTTGAAGAATGTATGTTTAGGATCCAATGCCATTACACTACTCTCCTACCAAAATCAACGTGATGTTGGTTCAATATCAACTTAAGTGGGATTGTCGCGCGCCAGAGGTTACCAAGAATAATAAGAATCCTTCGGTGTTGATAAGCTGAAATTTATATCAGAAAAAAGAAGGCTACAACTGATCTAGAAATACATACAGTCGTTTCAGAGTATTTGGTTTTATTTTTAACTCGCGAAAAATAGAACTATGGGAGCTGAACAAAGTGGCACTATAGCAATTAGGAATGATTTCTTGTAAAGATATTTTAATAAATAAATCCGCCTGTAGTTCCTCCGTGGGCTACTGCCGGCTCCAAGCCCGGATAAAGGAGTAGGACTGAAGATGGGGTCAGCGACCCCATCCAATAGAAAACGAACTCGCTAATAAAACACTAACCAGAAAAAAATTATCCAAAACATTTAAACTCTGCCCTGGGAGTTGAAAGAATAGTTATGACGCCTCATGATGAAAGTCGAGTTCATGTGGCCGATGCACCTTCTGACAAACAGTGCAACCATTTACCTAGATACATGGAACGTCTGGACAGCGTGGCAGACTGGAAGAATCTTCCAAATTGCTGCAGAAACGAGGGAGTACAACCTAGAAATGCTTTGGATCAGTGAAACACATTGCATGCAGGGTGGACAACAACGACTAGCTTCAGGGGAGGTTCTGTTATACTCCGGTCATGAAGACGAGAATGCCGCACATACACCAGGAGTTGCATTGACACTGTCCAAATAAGCACGAAATGCACTTGAAGGATAGGATCATCAAATCCACCTTCAAAACAAAGAAAGAGGGCATTACAGTGAACGTTATCCAATGCTATGAGCCTACCAACGACTACGATGAAGACGTTAAATAACAATTCTACGATAGTCTGCAGTCGATCGTCAAGAAGTGCCCGACAAGGGACCTGACCATTCCGATGGGAGACCTAAATACCAAAGCTGAAATAGATAACACTGGATACGAAGACGTCATGGGACGACATGGACTGGGAGAGAGGAACGAAAATGATGAGAGATTTGCAAACCTATGCGTCTTCAATAAACTGATCGTAGGCGGCACTATATTCCCACACAAACGCATTAACAAAACCACATAGACTTCATCGGACAACACTACACAGAACCAAATCGACTTTGTCTGCATCAACAAAAAGTTCAGGAAGACGATGTGGGTGTGAACCAGGAGAATAGCTGATATAACACCAGATCATCATTTGCTGGTCGCAAGATGAAATTAAAACTTAAGAAGCACTGGACAACGACACGGACAATATCACAAAAGTTTATAACGGCCTTTCTTCGGGATACTGACAGACTCAACGAATTCAAGATATCCCTCAGCAACAGGTTCCAGGCCTTTCATGATCTACTGAATGGAGAGGGAACTACCATGGAGAGTGACTGGAAAGGGGTAAAAGAGGCAACCGTTTCAACATGTCAGAAGGTTCTGGGCCACAAGAAGTAACATCACATGGAATGGATCGCTGTTGGCACACTAGGTAAGACTGAAGAAAGGAGGAACAAGAAGGTAGCAATCAATACTAGCCGAAAAAGAGCAGAAGAAGCTACGGCACAAGCTGAATACACAGAAGCAAACAAGCAAGTGAAGAGGAGCATCAAAGCTGACAAACGCAAATATGTGGAGGATTCGGCAAAGACAGCGGAAAAGGCTGCAAGAAAAGGAAACATGAGACAATTTTATGATGCGATCGTGTAATAATAATGACGAAATCGCAACTCTACGGTTCGTTTGGAAACAATCAATTGAGTGGAATTCATCTCTGTACATCAACTTCATGGATTACGAGAAGGCATTTGATAGCATGGACGTGACAACACTTTAGAGGCTTATTCGACACTACGGCGTGACTGAGAACATAGTCAATATCATACGGAACTATTACGATAGATTAAACTGCCAAATCATCCATGGAGGACAACTCACCGACTCATTTTAGGTAAAGACCGGTGTTAGGCAAGGTTGCTTACCCTCACCCTTTCTCTTTTTTCTGGTAATCGACTGGATCATGAAGACGTCAATATCTGGAGGAAAACACGGGATACAATGGACAGGCAGGATGCAGCTTGACGATTTAGACTTCGCAGATGATCTGGCTCTTCTATCACAAACGCAACAACAAATGCAAAAGAAGACGACCAGTATAGTAGTAGCCTCAGCAGCAGTAGGTCTTAATATAAACAAATAGCAAAGCAAGATTCTCAGATACAACATAACATTCACTAACCAAATCACACATGACGGAGAAGCTTTGGAGGATGTGGAAACCTTTACATATCTGGGCAATATCATTGATGTACACGGTGGATCTGATGCAGATGTGAAGACGCCGATCGGCAACGCAAGAGAAGAATATTTACAACTGAAGAACATCTGGAACTCAAAACAATTGTTAACCAACACCAAGATCAGTTCTACTGTATGGTGCGGAGACGTGGAGAACTACGAAAGCCATC